GCAGGGACGTGATATTTTTGACAAAAAAAAATGATTTAGTCAATTTTTTCAAATTTTTATGACTCAATCTACCTCTTTGAAAACGTTTTTCGTTTAATGTGCAGACTGGAAGTCTCGTCCAAGATGGTTAGCCCACGGCTTATTTGGTCTCAGCATATTTAGTAGTGATGAATTCTTAAGAAATCTGTTCATCTTACCCAAGGGTATGCTACAGCCCGCGCCACAACCCAGCCCACCAAGTCAATTATTGTGGTCAACACTCGGATTTTCAAGCTGCAAATAATTTTCTTTCAAAATGAATCTCATCGAAAACGTGACGTAGAGGTCTTCTGACCAACCAATTGCTGCATTCAGTCTATAAAATAAAAAACTCAAAATTCAAACACAAAATTTGTACTTCTGAAGTATGCGCATCAAGATGTCGCACAACCTGAAATACAACCTGGTACGCAACCTGAGTTCAGGCTGTGCGACATCTTGGTGCGCATACTTCAGTAGTTTCCAAAATTTTCTTGAAAACTTGGCTCCCTCACTCTGATTAACGATCTGTAACCGATATGACTGCAAGAAAGATTTATCTTATCGATGGGCAATTACTTTCCTAAGTGGGCCACACTTACAGATAATAGACTTGGTTACTGGGCCGGAAGTTCGAAACTCAATATGAAACTATGAATGTGGAACTTACATAGCGTCGATAACAATTACCTGCCTGCTTGTTTCAACGATGTAATGCAATAGTTATGTGTTACAGGAAAAATTTCGGACCTCTAGATGTATGTGCACTAAGATGGCGCACAACCTGAACACAGTGTGTTCCAGGTTAGGGTTCAGGTTGTGCGCCATCTTGGAGCGCATACTTCGGGAGCGCCAAAATTTCTATTCATAAAAACTATAGTCGTAATTTCAACAGATGGGATCTGGCCCGCGGGCTGTAGTATGCTTGCCCACCCCTGAATTATAACTGACAACAATGCGTTTTGAAATGCTAAATATTTGATGAAAAAAAAAAAACTTTGTCCGAAAAGAAATTTTACTATTTCATTTTGTTGGTCGATTTTATCAGCATTTAAAATAATTCAGCATATTTTCCTATTTTATTTTTATTTTTTTTAATTTTTGTTTTATTCAATTTCGGACCGTGATTCGAGAGTGATTCGGGCAACGCAAACGCTAATTCGAATAGGACAATTCACTTTTCATCAGTAAGGTATTTATTTTACTCTGTTTATCTCAAGAAAGATTACCATAAATTGGGCTGATATATACACTTTAAGCAATTTTTTTATGAAATTTAAGAATTTGAATATGCCCTGAATAAACTATAAAGAAAGTAATTGGGCAATAAGAGGATAATTCTAAAGAAAGAATCAATTTTATTCAAATCGATTGTCGTCCAAAATTGTTTTTTTTTTTAATTTTTTTTTTTGTATTCTTGATTCAGCATATTATTTTTGCATTCTATTTATTATCATAATAGTCCCAGTTTATCACTTAATGAAATGACTTGGATGATTAGAAATTGCTTCGAACGAATTTTTTGTAGTCTGCAGGAGGGCTGCTCAACTATTTTTATCGAAGGTCCGCAAACAAAACTTCAAAATTATTTGGGTCCGGTCTTTCCAGAAATGCTATTTCGGCATCCTTAAACGAGCACTTCCTCGACCGACTAATGATTAGTAGCAAATTAACATTGTTTATTATGATGTTATAGTTCTTTTCGTATATATTCAAAACTACGTAAGTCATTTTATAATAGGAAATTCAAAAAGTGGGGCTAATGATCCAAAATAAATAATCAGGTGCGGTCCAAATCCAATACTCGAAAGGTCCGGATTCGGACCGCGGTCCGCCAGTTGAGTAGCCCTGGTTTACAGTGTTTCAGCATATCATTTTTGCCTTTTATTTATTGTCCGAAATTGACGAAGCTTGTTGTTGTTATTTCGGTCTCATAGCATCTCGATAATGTCTCGAGTTTCCTCAATTTGATAAAACTAAATTCGGCCGTCCAAAATTATGTGTTCGGAATATTTTAAGCAGCGTTGAAAAGTATTTAAAATCGAATTAATTAAATTACCTTTATTCTTTTTCCTCTGCTCTAAAAATTCAGCATAATGTTTTTGCATTTTATTTATAGCCTGGAAAGTTTTCCACTAATTTATTTCGACTCTGAGTATTTTATTGAATTGTAATACAGGTCCGAGTATCAAGTGGATTCAAGAATCCCTTCAGATTTTATCTCAAGCTTTAGAAAGCTTCAAAATTAGGAGCTACAGAGGTATGTTCACCAAGATGGCGCACATCCTGAACACAGTTTGTGTACCAGGTTATGGTTCAGGTTGTGCGCCATCTTGGTGCACATACTTCTGGAGCGCCCATAATTATGGTCTCTTGTACAAACCCCCCGCCATAAACACGTCCGCCACCCTCAAAATAAAAATAGTACTTAACCACTAACAGTTGAGGTTACGTGAGAAACTACATTTCCTTGCTCTATGCTTTTGTGCAGGTGGATACGTATGACGCAAGGATGCTGTAGCAAGAGTGAAAATAACTATTCTATTCAATTCAAGTGCCAGGAATGCAGGTTGCGCTAAAAAATCCAATTCTTTAATCCTATCTGACCTGAACTCTAAATGGATAATTACTAATTTGTTATTGAAAACGTGGCGGGGCTGTTTTTTCAAATGTAACATTTGAGATTTGCTTGATACAAAAATCCCAGAATTCAGTCAATTAAGTGACTTGGAATTGTTTTATACCAAAATGGTGTCAAGGTATACGATCACACGCACCCAACATCACAACACTAATCATGGTGGCACTTCAATATGCGTTTTATCTCCTAAAGACATTCTCATAGAATTCAGTTCCTAAACCTGGCCCTGTAACCGCTGGGATCGCATACTCAATCAGTGGTACATTTAATCTTCGGTATATTTCTTCGTAATATATAAAAATATCATTAAAATAAGATTTTTTGTATTAGCTTAGTAGAGTGTCGTTTTCTACAAAAATCCCCAAAAACCATTAGATTCAAACGGAAGCATCGAAATTTATCGAATTATGTTCTGTAACATTTTGTCTAACTAAGGGTTCTCAACCTTTTTTTTCCGTGACCAATTTTCGTTGCACAATATATTCTGTGGCTTATTAAACTTTTCATGGAGGGGAATAACGACAAGAAAAACAAAAAAATATGCCCCAAATAATTACACTTTTCATAATTAGAATAGAAAATAAAAATTTAGGCCTGAGTAACAGAAAACAGTATCATCGTTTATTGCCACCACAATCAAAAGTAAACTGTAGTCACACAAATGAAACTGAATTTATCATAAACTCTAACAATTTTTAATTCAAAGTGTTGATGTGGCCCAGCGATATTGATGATGTTATGCTCGGAGTGATCATATTGTAATAAAAATCGTTAAATTATAAAATTGGTCGGTATTTTAAAACTACTCGCCAATCAAAATTGAACTAAGTCCAGTTCTGTTACAATTTTCTGAGAAATTTTTATTTTGTGACTGTGCGTACGAGGTTCTGCAACCCCGTGACGTAATATCAATGACGTCATATATTGTTTTTCAACTTTCGGAATCCGGGAATTTTTATAATAAATAAACAAACAAATCGAAAGCGAATGAGATCAAGTGTTTCCGTATTGCGCAAGCTATTAAAAACTAACAGTAAAATAAATTGAATTTCAGTGTCAATGAATTACATGGTAAATAGTGTTTGTGATATGAATTTCAAGTGATTGCGTGTTGACTTTTTTATTTTCTCTAAAAGTCTGGGAAATTGGTGCCACTTTGCACTGCGGCCCATGAGTCGATGGCTTGAAACGAGCACGCGACATTACTGAGTCTGTTGACGATTTTAGGAAGGAATTGTTTTTAAGCGAGTTTGTTCAAAGCTGCTGTTACTTATAGCGTTGTACGTAGAATATGAGTTTTGAGGGATCAGAACAGTGGTTCCCAACCGGTGGAAGATCCATAGTGCTAGAAGTACTTTCTGAAGTAAAACTTATGCACAGTAAACGTGTTGTTCACAGAGGTGTATAATTATGAAGGCGCATTGTTATAGGCAGTTTATCAAAGCAGTACATCGCACCTATTCCGATAAACGCTAGATTTTTCCAGCGCTGGAGTTGTTGCTCAAAACAAAAGCCCCGAACTGACTGTGGGTGTTGATTACTACACCGAATTAAACAATGTCTTAACGAGATGATTGAAGGTTTTAGTTTGTGAAAAGAAAAAAAAACTCCAAATTAAAAGTGGGTAATTAAAAAAACTCTTGGAACCGTAACCTGGATCAGAAGGTCCACAAACATTGGGGCTTTATACAAGCAGAGGCTAATATGTAGTCAGCTACAATACATTGTCAGAATCTAAGTTTCCGAACTATGCAAAGCCTATCCAATTTATTACACTTGGTAAGATGGAGGACATATAACTTAAATGAATTTTCAGAAAATGTTTAAGTGGAAAGAGGGCTGCTTCTTCAGTATCCCTTAGTCAAAGAAAATGATAATAATGGCTTCTTAGACAATTTTTCTATTTAATTTGCCAGTGTTTCGATCCTTAAAAACATGATAATACATGTATCTGAGGCTACTTTCCAAAGCAAAAGGGGAAAATAACTACAATGTGGTGCCAGGATCTAAGTTTCCGCGGTTTGATAAGCCGATTTTATTACATTTGGGTGTGAGATGAATAATATACTTTTTAATGCTTATTCGAAGTGAAAAAAGGCTGCTTCTTCGGTATTTCTTAGTCGAAAATATCATAATATTAGCTACATAAACAATTTTTTTTTTAATTTGCCAGGAGTCGTTTTTGAACTTCAAGAACTTGGAAATGCCATAAGTAAAAAGTGGGGGCAAGAAAGACAAATTAATTATTCCAGTTTCCAAGGGCTAGGTCGCGAAACTGGACGTTACCTCCTAAAAAAAAGTAATTGCGCATTAACAAAAAATTGAGACTTAATATAATCCGGACTGAATTACATTACCAGTAGCTCGTTAAAAATAATAAATAAAAATTATTTTACAGTTTCAATATTTTGAAAAAATGTTTTGGATTATCGTCTTATCATTCATAGGAGCCGTCGTTGGTAAGTTCAAATAATATTAAAAATTCTTGGCAACTTTCATCTTTTAAAAGAATGGAGAAAATGAACCCAATATATATATATATATTTATATATATGTGAATATATATCGCTGGGGCAAAACCAAAGTAGCTCATGTCACATTTTTTTAAATTCATTCAAAATAAATTAGAGATTTATTCCGACATTTGGCTGACAAAAAATAAGAAAGTTGGTGACGATAAAGGAATTTATTCTAAACCGATTCGATTCGACATGCCAGTAAGTCACTGTAACCGTTTTACGGTTACTTTTTACACTCCTATGTGAGACTTCGGTTTCTTGCTTTAAGCAAAGTCGCATTAAACACACACAAAGAGCGTATGTATAGAAAGTGCCTAGTGTGGGTTGGTAGCTTTACTGTAAGTTTTTTTAATCTTTTTGTATGAGACCGTGAGACCTTGCTTAGAATAGATTTGTAAACACAAAACGCATTGGTAGCTATAATGTAAACAAACCAGCTAATCAACTATATTTAGTAATCTCACTTATTTTTGTATTGCGCAGATGAGCAACGAATAATGTTAGTTTACAGACAAAACATATCGCCGTTTATTTGCGCTATTACAAGACAAAATATTATAAGCTTTACTATTCTGTCAGACCTGACGCGGCGAAACGACAAAACTCAAAGTTAGTACAAATGATATAAGTTTTGCCAACGCTCCTAATGTCTGTGCAGATGCCCTGTGTCAAGGAGATGATAATTGATGACAAATAGATAATGGGCAATTTCGAATACTCCCTCAATAACCAAAGGTCCGAAAAACCCATGTGCAATAGTTTATTTGTTTATTCAGAAAACCCTGTGTATAACTTACGTTTTTATAAAAATCTTTGGGGCTCCCGAAGTATGCGAACCAAGATGGCGGACATCGGAATGTAATATGTGTACTAGGTTAGGGTTAGGCCATAATTTTAGGTATAAAAACTACGAGAGGCTCTTGGCTAGTCTTCGAACTGATAATAGGACAAAAATAAGGAAAATTGGAAAAAAATTATCGCCTAACCCTAACCTGTTACCCATGTTACGTTCCGATATCCGCCATCTTGGTTCGCATACTTCGGGAGCGCCAAATCTTTCCATACTTCTAAGGAGATGTGTATGATCCTAATTAAAATATAAATAAAGCAAACCTGATACTAACAAAACAAAATGGTCTTTAAGTGTAGCAAGATTGCTAATATTAGCAAATTGAATAGGTTGTAATGGTCATTGATTTACGAAGTGCATTATTGGCGCACCGTTTTAGAGTTGGCACAGCGTGACCAGCACCACTACATAGGTATTTTGGTTATATTCAAACAATATAGATATAATATAGACTCACGGACTTGAAACATTGCAAAGGGAATTTATCGATACCATACATTGTTTAGTTGAACTTAAATACACGAACAATTGCTGATTGGAAAGCAACAAACCTAGTTAAGATATATTTCGAACTGCCTTCACAACAAAATTGAAATTGTAAAATTACTTTATATATCAAGCACGTGATGGTCAACCGTGTATATATTATTGCGTAGTGTCCTTTTCGAATGCGTAAAAATAAGGCGTATATAAGGGAATTTATATTTACATCCTTCAAGTATGCTCACTTTATTTTATTCAGCTGTACCAGCGGATATTTGTGACCAAACGTTCGAAGTTTTGCAAGGGCAGACTCGAACCATCAATTTCTTATTCGACACGAACTATCCCGGTAATGCGAACTGTGTGTTTCATCTGAGAGGAACTGGAGCCGAACGATTGAGAATTAGTTTTACAGAATTTGACATAGAGAAACATGCTCGATGCAAGTAAGAAAAAGTATTGCTTTTTCCTCGAAGTACTGCCACGTTCCCATAAGAGTAGCAAATAGGTAGTCTGAGGAGAATGCCCCTTCCCTCTCTCCCAGTTTTTTGACAATTGTAACGCGCTTTTGCGCCATTTTCGGTGAGACAAATATTCTTACGTATTTTCCAACACCACATGGAAACTTCTCAACCCGACCCGCCAAGTCTTTTAGTGTGGCCCTTGTCAACACTCAGATTTCCCCCATCAAGCTTAAAAATTTCGTAACGAAATTCTCTTTCGGAGGTGAATGAACCATTATAGTTCGCACCATTTTTTCAAGGTATATCAGAATCAGATGCTAATTTTTAGTTCATCTTTTCCCGCATACAATGCTTTTTAGAAGCAACATTTCATTGACTCAAATTAACGACCACAGAAATCGGAAATGGAGCAGAATGGTATTGTCCTGAATACGGGGCGCTCGCATAACAATGCCGACTTAACAGGTGTCGCAGAAAAAATTTAATGGATTGGCAGGGGTCGCGAACTTTAAAGTTTGGAGCGGCTAGGGCTAGACAACACATGACAAATAATCTTTGGTACGATCATTAATTCATTAACCAACCATTATATTTTCAGCTTTGATTCTCTGGAAATATTCAACGGCCCGACTATTGGAAGTCCTTCCGTGAGAAAGCTTTGTGGATATGAGGTACCATCTCCCTTTGAAACCAACGGAAATGTGGCAACCCTCAGATTCACTTCGGACAGGACTCTACATAAAACTGGTTTTATATTGCAATTTGCTACAAGTATGTGCGACAGTGGTTTGTTTTTAGTAGACAAGGAAGTGAGTTGTTGTTAATGATGGGACGACAGAAACTGAACTTTGATTTGATTCTTTTAGTATATTAGGTTTTAGAGCTTCGCAAACAGTGGGGTGAAGCTAATTAAAAATGGAAATATTTGTTGGATTTGATATTGCCCTCGTTATTTTGGATATTTACTTTCCATTCATGTATTCTCAACGTTATGTATTGTTATTGTTGGGTTGTTGGGGTAAAAGGGGGCTTTTCAATGTTTTAATGTTTTTCGTATTTTTTGCACTTCCCTTCACCGATTTTTGTCGTTTTTTAGTGTTCGCTGTGTTTTAAAATAAGTAATAAGAATTCATAAATAAATAAATCATATTCTTAGTTTAGGTATCTCTTATTCAGTTCATCTTGGGTTAGGTAAGACAAGTTATTAAATCGAGAGTAATCCAAGTTGAACAAAATCGAAGAAAATCAGTAATGAAGCAATGCCAAGATAGGGCAAAGTTACTACCAAACAAAAACATGACAACTACAAAAACATTAATCCATATCCAACATAGACTGCAACCGGACAAGAAACCTTGTTTCGCCATATTGTTAAGCCGTCTTACCAACTTTCCTCCCCCAACCCCGAATCAATTTGTAAATGCTATCTCATCCTAGAAGTTGTACCATAAGATAATAACGTCTTAACTACTTTCCTTTTTCCCCGCATTTATATGAAAATCCTATCCTCTTATTTATTCAAATATGCATTTCCTCATCCTTTCAGAAACGTCGGAGCAATTCAGCGGTCAATGTGAGCCAACATTTACAAAATCAAGCGGTGGGTTTGAGTCACCGTTGTACCCCAACAATTACCCAAACAGAGTAGACTGCACCTACGAGATTGCGCCTTCGACTGGAAATCAAATTTTGATTCAGTTTCCGACGTTTCAGTAAGATATTTGTTTTTGTGGAAGACCAAATTTTTTTTTAAATGTGTGTACCGGTTAGGATTCAGGTTGTGCGACATCTTGGTGCGCATACCTCTGGAGCATCCTTTTTATATATATCATACGTTTTTTACTCATAAATATTGCTCTGCACAAGCATCGACTTCATTGCCATCAAAGTGAGGTGATGGTAAAGCTTTGAACCTGGAATTTTTAACCCACAATGACAAAATTGTCAATAAATAATTCATGTAGCGAATAACCTCAATTAGCTGCGATATCCACGATATGTTCATCATGCACAAGCATTTACATTTTGCGGCAAATAAGCATGCATGCAATGCATTAGTTTTATGTTAATTGATGAAAACACCTTTATGTGACGATATGCTTCCGGGTTCTAATATATTTTAGAATTTCTGTCCTGCCTGTTTAGCTGAGTGGTTCCTTTGAATCAAAGATAGATATATACAGTGCTGAAACTCGATATTTTAAGAACGGGTTCTTTTTTGTATCGAACTCACTAACAACGAGTTCCCTCATTTCCATAAATATGTGTTTGTCACTACCAAAGCTACATTAATATGACACGCTTATATAAATCTTATACATAAGTTTCGAAACGCCAATTCTAACACTAGTCGTCAGCTGCGGTGCCCATTTCATGTGGCTATCTAACGTCTAAAAATGTGTTTTTCGAACGATGAAGCCGCCCCACAGAGGGGACGTATACAACTATTTTGGAGAGGGGGGGGGGGGGGCATCTCTTGTTTCAAAAAACCATGTCGAACTCATACTTCTAATGACAAGATCGTGTTTGGTGATTATTATCACAACATTTCTATTACATGCCCTTCATCCAAACAGTTATATATAAATGCAAATGATAACGTTTTGCAGGTTGGAGCGATCATCATCTTGCGTTATGGACTATGTCACGATCTCTACCAGAAGCAAAGTCGGTGAAAAGTTATGCGGAGATCTAGACGGGAACGCTTACTTGGTATCGGGATCTCTCGCCTCTATCAATTTCGTGTCCGATCGTAGCAGCACAAGAAGGGGATTCGAATTGACATATCGAACTATCCGTGAGTAGATTTTGCTCTGTATTTGATATAGCATTATTAATATTCTTTAGTTACATGTTACAAACGAGTAAATTGTGCAAAAGCGTAGGCGCATGTTCACTAAACGACGTAAGTACTGGCATTTGGCGCGGTACAACAACCATTTTTGCATATGTTATTCCTAATTCCCACATGGCTCTGTTATTCAAAGATTACGTCACCACGACCTCACAATCATGTCAAGAGCTTGCCAAAGTATAGCTACGGTCGCCCGAAATGGCATCTTCGCCAACTCGCCAACGCCAGCGATCTCTACCATATCTACATCGTTGCGACGAGAAAACGAGAGAAATGACTTGCTCGATTTCGAGTGACTGTCTGCGCGTCTTGGATGACAGTTAGAAAGTTTGGAGGGCCTTATTACGTTACGGTGACGTAATTTTTGAATGACGTAGTCAGGTGGGAGTTAGGAATAACGTATGCAAAATGGTTATGCCACGCCAACTAGAAGTACTTACGTCGTGTTGTAAACATGGCCCAAAGCGGAAGTGCGACCGGCGCTTAACACTAGCAAAAAACACTTTAATTAACCATTTAATAAACAAATTTTTTTAAACACGCTGAGGGAGCAATATCAAAATAGGCAATGGGGTATGTAATGAAAAAAGTCGAGAAGTTAATGGGCAGGACTGTTAGGTCGGAGAAAATTAATTAATAATCGGCTCCCGGCTCCAAGTTAAAATAAAAATTTCACGACTCCAGCTTCAGAAAAATTTTGACTACGACACCAGCATCTAACTAAAATTTCAGAAAAATCAAATTTAAAAACAAAAACTTTGGCAAGTTATTATGCAAAAGACTGTCAAGAACGTTCGGTAGATCTAATCCTTTTTGAGCTGTTGTAGAAAATTTTGACTTCTGATCACAACTGAAATATCAAGTTTGGTGTCCCATCTCCGGAGAGATCAGAATTTTAAATGCAACTCTGGATAGTTGCAAAATATGACTTCCGCTCCGACTTTAGTGTAAACATACCGAATTCGCAGCCTTGAATCTGGTTCTTTCGCGACCATTAATTCGTCCACTGAAGAAGAACGAGGAGCGGATTCGAATAGATTTAATTATCGAACTAAAGGTAAAAATTAAACTTTTGTGAAAAAGAAGGAAGACAAAGGTGTATAGGTAGAAATCATGGTTCCATTACATTTGAACCCACGTACATTTGAACCCATGACAATTGCACCTGTATGCTATTGCACCTATGGAATTTTTTTTGTTTCACGGTTAGTTAAACCCATACTAACCCTAACCCATGGGTTTTAGCACCCGCATATAGATTGAACCCGTGGATATACGCATGGGTTCAAATGTACATGGGTTCAAATGTACGGTCACCAGAAATCATAATCGAATTCCCGACTTCAAGTTAAAAACAATGTGTCAACATTGACCCGTTCATTCAACAAAAGAACCTGGAGGTTCATTTATTTTTTGTCCACATGCTGCTTCCCAAAACTATCAATATTCACCTACAGGCAAAAGTCGAGGACAAATGATTTTTCAACTTTGAATGATGAGTCATGATCTACGTATTTCTAACGCTTAGCGCAATGCGACAACATCGACCAGTCGATATAACAATAGAATCTGGCGGTTCATTCACTTTTTAACCCGATGCTAGGAAATCTATCTATTCCCGATTTGAGGTGACTTATATTTATTGAGTTGTCTTGGAAAGCAGCATCAGGTCGAAAATGAATGAACGTTCAGGTTCTTTTGTTATATCGACGGGTCGATGTCGCCGCATTGCACTAAGCGTTAAAACTATGTTGACAATGACTCACCACTCCGACATAAGAAACCATTTGTCCCCGATTTGTGTTGTCTTTGGGCTATAAATAAAAATTGACAGTTTCGGAAAGCAGCATGAGGACAAAAAGTGAATGAACCTCTATGTTCGTTTTATACATTGACAGGTCAATGTTGGCAAATCGTGCTAAGCGTTAGAAATACGTTGTCCTCACCACTCCAAGCTGAGAAACCATTTGTCGCCGATTCGAGTTGGTTTCGGGTTATAGGTAAAAGTGACAGTATCGGGAAGCAGCACGAGGACAAAAAATGAATGAACCTTATCGAACCATATCGATAGGTCGATAATGGCGAATTGTGCTAGGCGTTAAAAATACGTTGACCATGACGTACCACTTCGAGTTGCGAAGCTATTTGTTCCAGATTTGAGTTTCCTTCGGGATTTAGGTGAAAACAAACAGTTTCGGGAAGCAGCATAGGCTCAGAAAATGAAATACTTCTAGAAAAATGTCAACCATGGGCACCAATGCAAGTTGAGAAATGTTTTTCGTCGATTCGAGTTGACTTTGCGCTAATAGTAAAAACTGATAGTTTTGGGAAGTGCATAAGTTCGAAAAAGAAATGAAATATCAGGAAAGAAATTTCCTTTCTCTATAACTATCTAGACCAATTGCTTTAAAAGTTTTTAGATTTGAATGTTTGACGAGCCTTAAGATTGTTGTCGTTTCTAGAAGACCATTAGCTGCAAAAATTCTTCTGGGCGTGGTTGAATTCGTTTTTCTCTTTGCCGTTTTGCCTGTTGACATCAACAAAATTGAAAAAAATAAGTACTGCAGTCTGCAGCCGTTCATCGTCAGCATGTCAATGGTACTCGTGCTTTGTAAAAATCTTAAGAGTGTTTTAGACTCAAATCGAATCTGAATCAAATTTTTAAAATCAACCTCCGCTTTGTTTTGTTCAAACAGAAACCTGTAAAGACTTGGATGATGTTTGTGAAATTGGCTGCAGAGTTGGCGATGATAGTATGCTTGAATGTACTTGCAAGCCAGGATTCCAAGCAAAGAAAGGCGAAGCTCAATGCACAGGTAAGATTTATATATTTCCCCCCCCATTTCAGTATCTGTAACCATTGATCTCAAATGAACATTGAGCACACTAAAATATTGTAACAACATGTTGAAAAAGCGTGTCGCCATAACCACGCAAACCGGAACTCCGTCAGTGCCTTTAAAAGTTCTTCTACTAATATTTATATTTCCTCTTATTGGACGCTCATATTTACAAGGTGACTTGTAGATCAGCCATCGAACTTCTTCTATTTATATAGGACTGTATCCAAAAGTTTTAGCAATCTAGGACGTTTTGCACAAAAGTTATGTTCTCTCTGGAATATTTTACAGATTATTGTTTTTTAGGTCAAGTTGAATTTTATTTAATCTCACTCTCAGGCATTCACACCTGTGTCTTCTTTTCTACTCATCTATTTTTTATGATCCCTTTTCGCTGTTTCACATATGTTTTAAATTTTTTCCCCGACACTTTTTATTTTTAATTTCTTTTCTTCCTGTCTTCTTTGTTTTGTTTGATATTCTATCGAGAAAAATATCTATTCTCTTTTTGACTCTTTTATTGTAATTTTCAGTTCTATTTTCGTACTTTTCCTCCATTTCTGCTCCTTATTTTGATTCTATCTCATCTTTTGTAAATGCTTGATTTAATCCATTCTCCTCTTATCCTTCAAACCTCTTTTCAATTTTATTATTTTTCTGACCTTTTTAAACATTTCCACATTTCCCCTGGTCTTTCTAATTTTAGGAATTATAGCCGCCCTAATTTCTTACAGTTCCCCTCATCCTTTGAAAAGGCATTCCAAGTTCGCATGTCTGCAATGTATTCTTTCTGCGTTTCTCAATTTCTTTTCTTTCATTATTTCGTGAATCATTTTCATCTTTCATTTTTTTTATAACCATCTTTTTTTTTTATGTTACTTTTGCGATTTGCTTCTCGATTTATTTTTTATTCCCCTCGTTTTTTACTATTTCACTGAGCATACATTTTTCCATTTCCCTTTTTGTCTCACTAGATAAACACGCATAATTTATTGTATAATCATTACAGATGTGAATGAGTGTTTGGTAGACAACGGAGGATGCACTGATCAATGCAAGAACACCGAAGGCTCGTTTCAATGCGGTTGCAGTACAGACGGCTTTTTCCTAGCTCCCGATGGATTTAATTGCACGGGTAAGAATTTAACTTGATTTCGACGCCTATTTACGCTTTTTGATCCAAACAAGGGATATACAACCAGTCTCAGAAATCTTTGATATTGTGGAGCAGAGGTTTCCAATCTATTATGACTCATGGCCCTCTTCTCGAGGGTATTAGCACTCATGGGCCCCCTTTTTATTATTCTAGCGGTATTTATAATTTTATTATGATCGGTAAATTTCAAATCACATTATGTTTAAATACTTCATAATCAACAAAGTGAAATGTGTAATTAATTTTCCATCTTGATGTCATTTAATTTCTGAATCCTCTCTTTCCAAGCAATATTGGAAACGACTTTAGTGTTTTGTTGTGATATATTTGTGAATATGGCTTCAAACTTTGACTAGAAAAACAGCACAAAAAGCATCTGTTTTAATAATATTTTTTCCACAAAAATATCTTGAACGAGTGAAAACTGGACCCTTTTCTGCCTTTCAGATCGCTCTTGTGCTGTTGGCAATGCGGGATGTGAACATAATTGCCATCTGACGGGAGAAGGGGGTTATTTTTGTACGTGCAATAAAGGATTCAGGATCATGGGAGACCAGCATAACTGTTCAGGTAACGAATGAGACACGAAGTGTTCATTGTGCTTCAAACCACGCTTATTCAGGCCTTTTGTCCCGAACTTTATACAAATATTCAATGATATCGACTGATAGGTAAGACACTACTATTATTTGAAGAAACCAGGATCTTTCTAGATCAGCATCGCCTACTCAATTTAGCGAAAACAGTTAAAAACATACAAATAACGTAATAAAAAACGTGGAAAACTATCAAAAACCTTGCAAAAACATTGAAAACCCGTGAAAACCTACCAATAACCTTGTCAATGAGAAGTAGGGGGTTAAGGTATGTAACTTGCAAATTGCAATGTCAAGATAGTAAATTCTAACGCTTCAGTCGCTAAGCCATGGCGCCAACCTCGTATGGATCAAATTGTTCAATTGTTATTGTTTTGGGAGTTGTTTAAATTGCTGTTGTTGTTACGATAAAATCTCTCATATCTACAATTAATGGACCATGAATCGACAGCAAATTTTCAGTACTAGAAGATGAAATAAGTAGCTTCTATTATATTTTACATCCCTGAACTATGGGCTCGCATCCACAGAAAAATGAAGTTCCGAATTTCAGTTCGTCAAATTTTTTGCCGTACGCTGACAACAGCAATTTTAGGAATGTATTGTCATTCATCCTGTGCTTTATTACCCGATATTTTTGTCGAAAAGCTCATTCCGTTTTGTTTTTCCAACACGAAAAATGTGAAATTCTTTCCATAAATGGTTTATTGAGTACTAATAACTAATTTAACAATTTCCTGAAGATGTCACGTTGCAATTTTCCTTTAGCATATATTTCAGTAAATCATATCTAAACATAACTCTTGCAATTTTGAATTGATTAGTAGTTTTGAGTGCATTTCAGAACATTTCAATTCATAATTTTCTTAGTGACTTGAAGATTTTCTATATCATTAAAACAATGTGTCAGCTTTGTTTTCCTCCTATTTCACATGTTCTGTTTCACCATACAGATATAAACGAATGCACTGACAAGAAATATCAGCACAGCTGTGAGCAGAGATGCATCAACGATCCGGGGTCTTACTATTGTGATTGTGATGAAGGATACATTCTCAGTTATAACCAAAGAAAATGCAACGGTAAGTGGTGAAAAAAGAGTCAGATTTCATCGAATTTACGAATCCAGGTTGACTCCGACTTCGAACAACAGCATTTTTCGGAGATGTGTAGTCGGGCAGAGTCAAGTTTTATCGGATTTACAAATCCGGTTTGACTCCAACTTTGTTAATTTTGCCTTCTAAGAGCTGTGCAGTAAGAACTCAAGTATTATCTTGTTTAAAAAACAGTTTGACCACAATTTTTATTTGAAAATATTACAAAAAAATGTGTTGTTCATAATGGTATCTAAACAAGTATGACGATAAACAGTTACGAGTTCAAAAATACAAAAAAGAACTTGAAACTCACTCTTAAACCAACTCTTTTTCTTAAGAACTTTTTTCAAATTTTGCCCCTTCGACTTAAAACCCTCTTATTTTCTCTACCATAGACGTCGACGAATGTGGGACTCAAGGATTCAATTGCGATCATGAATGCCGCAACTATCCGGGTGGTTGGAGTTGCTCTTGTTATCAGGGTTATCAAGTCAATCCGACAGATCCAAATGGATGTATTGACATAAATGAGTGCCAAGCAGGTAAGTAATAGAGGGTGTTATTCAAAATTTTAAGAACGGTATTGAACTCACTTTCTCTTTGGTATTGAACGGTTCTCTTTGGTATTGACCTCACTAACAACAGGTTCCCTCTCCCATAAAATGAATGTATGTTACCGTGTAAGCTATGACACAATTTATTGAGTCAGTTTGTCAGATCTAAATAGATGCATCGACATAAATGAGTGCCAAGCAGGTAATGGATTGGGATGAACATGTGGCTTGACCTATTCTCTTTTTTGAAGAAATACAAATTACTTGTTTTATACAGAGTTTTTACACGTGTTTAATTAATGCAGCCACAGATATGTGAAAAGTTGATGGACATGGGATTTGAAACCGTCATTTTTGACTTTTTTTAATTCTTATTTTTAACGAGATTTCTGAACGCCTTTTACACCTATCACTCTAACATCACTCTAATACAGTGTTTTTCAACCTTTTTCGAGCCAAGGCACACTTTTTTCAGTGAGAAAATCCCGCGGCACACCACCAGCTAAAAATATGGGGAAAAGACCTAATATTCACAATTTAAGTGTTTTATTGTTAATATAAGATTTTTAAAATTGAAGAAAGATGTTGAATAGGACATCCTGAATAGTAATCAAATAAAAACAAAGACAAAAAAAAATTGCCACCTAATGCTGCCACGATCTGATATAGAACAGTACTACATGATTACTCTGCCGGGCGCCACACCGCATAGACACACAACTTGGAGAATTTCCCACGGCACCCCTGACAATATTTAACGGCACACCGGTGTGCCGCGGCACCCCGGTTGAAAAACACTGCTCTAATATGTTAAAGGGGTCCTTTTAAAAAACACGAAATTATTTAGTCTTAGCCACCTAACTTATTACACTCTGGATCGAATTCACAATCTTCAATTAACAGTCGTTTTGGAAACAAAGTTGAATTATGGTTTTGGTATTATGTTGTTGTTCTGAATAAATCGCCTTTCTCTTTTTCTACTCGACCAATTGTATTGAAATTTTGAAGTCTAAGCTTGTTTTTGTCGTTAGTAAGCTATTTATTTATAAATTTATTATGATTTATAAATATTTATTTCAAAAATATCTGTGGGCTTCGTGGAATTCGTTTATGACTATGAAGTTTTGTGTGATGACGTCACCAAAAATTCAAAATTGCGTGAAGTGGTTCCGTGGTCACATCTCAGTGATCTGGGGGTCAGACTATCGGTACTGTAAAATATTTGATGCTACCTCGCTTGTACCTCCGTGTCCTTATATTTGAGAAGTGCTCTCTTGTTTCAAATTATAAGTTGAATCTCATTCCATATCTAGAAATACAGAAGGTTTGTCAAGCACCTATTTATTTTTACAAAGAATAACTTTTACAATGTTTTTAAAAGGCATATGTTATATTACACTCATACATGCTCAAAATATTGTTCGTGCACTTCAGAGCAGTGTCTTAAACTTGTAAAAAACCAAGCTAACTTAAAACAACCTAAACTCTAAAAGAAATAACAACGTACCGAAAAAGAAATGAGTAGGCACGCATTTTATTTGTGATTTTATTTGACCTTCAAGTTTTCTGTAAATAGTTAACTTTTTATTATTATTTCCTGTTGAGACTTTCTAATGGGTGCCGCTGCTCGATAACCAAATTTGGTTTCCTGTGGCTCCTCGCACCTTGAAATCCTTTTTCAATATTTATTGTAATTTCTATAACAAGTGTGCAGTGTCAGTATGGTGAGAAAAATAACTACTGATTACTGTTATCTTTGCAGACGCGATGCCAGCACATTGCAAAAACTGTGTGAATTTTGAAGGCGGATTCTCATGCATAGCTTGTGAAGACGGGTTTACAACTAACAATACAGCGTGCTTGGATATCGACGAATGCGATACCAATAACGGAGGATGCCAGCAGGTTGTTGTTGTTAATATGTTTATGGCGCTGATAACATCAGTGGTCATCTGCGCCATTCACCATTTCAAACTAAAAATGCTATATATACTAACATATTAACGACAGGAATTCCTTGCAGGCATAGAAATTATCAATCCTTCTTGTCTTGGATTTGTCTACCCATTTTATTAACTTCAGGTATCTGGAATAGGTTTAAACCCCGATTTATGAATTGTCATTTTCTTGGTCTCTCGAAAAAACTTAATTTATCTCCGAGTAACCTCGTGACTTCGTTTTGAGTAAATTCTAATGATAATATATTATGGTCAATACCACGTTTTCCCCTAAAATTTCTGTTTTGCTTTGGAATATGTGAATGACATTGAATTCCCATTTTCTAGGAATGTCTCAACTTTCCAGGTACGTTCAAATGCAACTGCCATTCGGGGCATGAACTGATAGCTGACGGACTAGATGGGGAATCGTGTCAAGATATCAGTAAGTAACCAGATATTACATTTTATTCGGTGATGTTCCACACTTTTGCTTTAAACAAGGCTATAAACAAGATATCTGTTCATTCGCTCTTATCAGGGAACCATAAAATGCCAGTCTGAAAGTAGAGAAGCGCAGAGTTTTTATGATGCTCAGCGATTTGTCTCTAAACAGTTTGCTCTGCATCAGTGGTTGTCAAACGGTGGCGCGCCCCACAAGGGAGGGGTAAACAATTTTTTGAGGCGTCGTGAAGATAATTAGGAATAAAAATATTTGTCAGATTTAATATTGCCCGCCGTATTTGTATATTTACATTATTCTTTATTTTGAATATTTACGTTCCATCCGCATATTTTCAACGTGTTTTTTAATGAAACATACTTTTGCCTTACTACCTGTTATTTGTAGCTTGCTGTTAGATAGTTATTTTTTAGGCGGTCTGCGAGACTTGACAAATTCTAAAATGGGGTCGCTTTAACCACTAGCTCAATATTTATAATGATATATATAATTAATTTTTTATTTTTATCAGATGAATGTGAACCAAATGATGGATTGGGACCGTGTGAGCATTATTGCGAGAATTCCATCGGCTCGTTCACTTGCCATTGCTTGCCGGGTTACGAACTGACTATTGGAAGTGGGATTGCTTGTCAGGTTAGTAATGAGGGTAGTGAATGAACAAGAGTATGAATTATAGATGTACCGATACCATTTTCCAACCGATAACAATCTGTACCGATGCCGCTCCGTACCGATACCATTTTCCAACAGATAACAATCTGTACCGATGCCGATCCGATACTATTTTTCGACGATGCCGATCCGTACCGATTCCATTTTTCCGTCGATACCGATCTATACCGATACCATTTTTCCAACGATACCGATCTGTACTGATACCATTTTTCCGTCGATACCGATCTATACCGATACCATTTTTCCGACGATAACGATCTGTACTGATACCATTTTTCCGTCGATAACGATACCATTTTTTGCCCATACCGATCAGTACCAATACCATTTTTTCCACCGAAACCGATACCAATTTTTCCGCCGATACCGATACCATTTTTGCGCCGATACCGATTCGGCCATATCACCGATATTCCTATACCGATATTCTAATAATATGAAATTAACATCAATCTATGTGCAATGTTCTTGAGTGTACAAAATGAAATATTTGTCTGTGAACAGAAGAACATGACATGGCATGTTACTGTTAATATTTAAGCTGTAGCAGGAGTCCAATTTTTAAACTCACCCGAGGTCGGAATTGAAATTTTGAATTTTAATGAGCATTTTTATATTTTTTAGGATATTGACGAATGCGCAACCACCGCTAATGGCAATTGCAAACAACAGTGCAACAACCACCAGGGTTCGTATTCTTGCAGGTAATGACAAAGAGTTGATCCAGCATAATATTTTTGCAGAGAGAGTGAGGAAAGTAAATAATACGTGTCAATTGTAGATTGCAACTCTCCTAACAATATTAGTGCTCCTTCCATTTTCGGTTTAGTACTCAAGACCTGACTTTGAGCAAACTTGAAACTCTTCTATGAGTATTCTGTAACTTTGTAACTGTAACTTTTATATTAGAACTCTTTTCACTTCCAATTAAAACATTACGCCTAACCTTTTCTATCAGTGCTCTCATTTTACTCATGCTTCTATCCTGCCTTGAGCAAACTTATGACGATCTGGTATTTTCGTTTTCAGCTGCTTCCCGGGATACTGGATGACCGACGAAGTTTGTCAAGACATTGACGAATGTGTTGAAGATAAACCGTGTGACAAAGAGTTGGTGAGTACTATATAAGCCAGGGTGGCCTGCGGGCCAAATGCGGCCCACAAGGAGAAATTGTGCGATGGAGAATGGCCAATTTCTGAATGGTGCGCGGGAAACTAGTTTTTGTTTTAGTTTAATCTGATAAGTGATGCTTGTGCGAAGCAAACAACGCATGTCATAAGATCAATAAAGAAAGTTTTTGTGCCAGCAACTACTAGAAAGCCTATGTTAAATAAAGGTGCGTCCTGTGGTTTCACTCAGTTATTTGTATCTGGTCCTCCTGTATTAAAGTTTCACACCCCTGATATAGGCGGTTTGTATCTGGAGTCGCTTACACCAGACTCCGGATTGACAAATGTTTTGACTCCAACCTAGACTTACCACTCCAGCTCCGAACGCGGCTGCGGAATCGGCTAAACTCACACCCGATTCCAATTCCGGCCGATTTAAAACGACTCCTGACTCCGGATTGTAAAACTTCGGACTCTGGTTTCGTCATTGATTACAGATTGTGAAGTACTTTAACTTTGACTCCATTTCCGAACATGGCCGGATCAACCAGACTTCGAGTTTACAAAAATCCTGACTCTGATTCCATTCTTACTTCACTTTACTGTAAAATACTTTTCCGCACATAACCGGGGTGTCGGGAAAACGTGCACCAGAATTTGGATTCACAAAAACTCAGACCCCAAATCCCGTTAGTCTCCATTTGTGTCGTAAATTGTATAGTCGTGCATTTAATTTTCATTGAGGTTTATATTACTGGTTCTCGACCAGTTGGCCATGGCCCACAGCTTGGCCACAGAAACATTTTCAAGTGGGACAAAAAATATTAAAAATTTTACTTTGAGATTGACTTATTTATATTAGGTAAATTTGATTGCATTAGAAATGAAATAAAATGCTGTTTTTTGCTACTAAATGGCAATTTTTATTTAAATTATTAAAGGGGAAGTGCCTATCTTTGCGAAAAGAGAATTTTTTGTTTTGATTGTAGTTTTTCCCTTGCATGAGAGAGAAAAGCCACAAAATTTTTTGTGCAACGAAAGTCGGCCACGAAAGATAAAAGCTTGGGATCCACAGGATAGATGTATTATTGCAACGTTCGACCCGTGCTTGACTTCAAGTCTGATATAGTGCCATACAGTGTCATTCATTAACTGATATTATCTTGAATGTGTTTTGAATGAAATCAGTGATATCAGTATAGTTGTGCATACACATCATTTTACAGTACTTGTACTTTCTTTTCAAGGGTGCAGAATGCGTTAACACATTGGGAAGCTTCCATTGCATTTGCCCGAGCGGGTTCAACGTTGTCAACGCAAGTATATGCGAGGACATTGATGAGTGTGCTAACGGCACTTTCGGTGAGTATTATATATTTTCATTTGTGATGGGGCGTGTCTAAGGCAGTATCCCCGAGAAGCATGTTGTAGGAGACTATACATGTAAGTTTGTTACTTAATTTGATGATTTATTCATTATTAATACAAACATTTCACTATCACTTGACTTTTAATTCTTGTGTATAACAACATCTCTAATTTGTTTATTTCCCAAATTATTTTTAAAGATGGGTACAAAAGGCATCAATATCAGACACTCGTTTAGGGAAGCAGAAAAGTTTGACACACCTACAGTAACGCGGCGTCAAAACAAATTCTATTCTGATCCAAACTATTTGAGAAACGCTTCCGGTTGACAAAAATTTAACGCGACCCGGATTCCAATTCCAGATTTAAAAAACGACTCCAAGCCCTATAGAATTAGGTTATTTTTCGACGAATACTTTGCCCTCTGCTTGCTTTTTAGTTTTAGGTAAAATAAATTTAGTCCCGACCCAACCTCCAGGGAAAAGCATCATCTGTTTTTTTGATAGCTTATATATGGATCTAAGTGCGTTTTATTTGTTTTAGTGGGTTTTGGCGATTTTTAATGATTTTTACAACGTTTCAGTGAGTTTTAGCAAGTTTATATAGGCTTTGGCACGCTTCAATCTGGGAGAACCGCATTCAAAGAATATTTTTGCAAAAGGCCGCTGAGACAAGTAGGCTACTTGGTTTTTCTAAAACACCTTTAGCCAAACTTTAATGTGAAGTTGTCTGAGATAAAAAATTTAAAAGAAATATATTAAAGACAGAACATCAATCGACGCAAATTTATTCAAAAGGCAAAGAAATGTGCCAGTCAATGTTTATGAAAAAAAAAAATTCATAGCTTTGTGCAAAACCAGAACAGGGGCGCACAAAATACTTTTTGATGAACATGTGGCCGCAGAAAAGTTTGACACACCCACAGTAACGCGGCGTCAAAACAAATTATATCCCGATCCGAACTGTTTGGGAAACGCTTCCGGTTGACAAAAATTTAACGCGACCCGGATTTCAATTCCAGATTGAAAAAACGACTCCAAGCCCTATAAAATTAGGTTATTTTCGACGAATACTTTTCCCTCTGCATGCTTTTTTGTTTTAGGTAAAAATACTTTTTTGATGAACATGTGGCCGCGGGCCGTAGTTTTCCTACCACTTAACTATTTGCTGAATTCCAGGTGCGACACACGGATGCTCACAACAGTGCGTTAACACTCCTGGATCTTACCGTTGTGATTGTCACGACGGATACGCAGACAGTGGAAACGATTCTTGTGTCGGTAAGTGTTATAAAGTGACCGTATTCTTGTCTTTTTAATATACAAGATAAAAAATTCTTCCGGGGGAGAGAAAAGCCGACAAAATGGCATTATCATATAGCAGACCACGGCCTTTCGTCCGTTTACCAGTCTTTCTCCCCCCTTAATTTTATCGTGTGACACCACACTTGAGTTTGAATATTCAGAAAATGGCTTAAATACCGGTGAAGTTCATCAGTGAAAAACATAAGACATTTTCATAAGTTAAAAAATAGTTTCATCGCGGTAATAATAAAATAAAACCATACCCTTGAAATGGAAAGCTGGAGATCATACTGCCTAGTACGAGATGGTCCACTTCAAAATGATTGACAAACATAAATACTGATTACAAAATAGAGTACCTGGGTCTTGCTAACTCATAAATACCAACTCCAGCTCGTTTCGCCCGCTGATTGGCCCATGCAGTCACGCTTGACTTTTTAAATTTCTACTTTATCTACGACAAGGTCTCGACAGAGTAAGATTTGGTCTGAAAATCTAACGTCATGTCGGGTTGTTTTACTATTTTATTCGGTCGTTTTGTATCTTTGTTTTTATCATAGTTAATGTCTCACTAGAGTAGATTATTCATCTTCCACTCTCTTTTCCAGACATCAACGAGTGTCATCAGAAACCATGTTGGTTCACATGTGAAAATACAATTGGAAGTTTCCAATGCAGCTGTCCGCCTGGGTATTTCTTACTTGCTGACGGGTTAAGGTGCTCAGGTAAGGACTTGTTTTCTCTCTTATTCAATGTATTAACTACCATAGCCAAGCAAATCTAGACATACACTATTTCTATCTAAAATTCTAAACCAATACTCTGCCTTGACCTACTTTCTGAACATGGATTTGAACAAGCTGCCATTGATATTTAGTACCTACCATGTCTAAATCTTCACTCAAAACAAAGGTCTAGACCAGACATGGGCAAAGTACGGGCCGCGGGCCAAATCCGTCCCGTTTGGTAATTAATCTGGCCTCCTGATGCTGCCAAACCCAAATCGAATTTTGATGTTTTAGCTAAAATTAGCTCAAGGAATTTGTTGAGATTGCGGTTAAATTTACTTTTGGCGCGGGGCTTATTGTTTTCCACCTTTGTTTTGTAACACTGTAATTATTGTTCTTAGAATGTTATTTTTTACGGCACCCTTACATGGCCCGCCACTCTAAGTGTGCAAAACTTTTGACCCCTGGTTCAAAAACCTTGCCCACCCCTGGTCTAGACCAATTGCAATTGATATGTGTTTTGGCCTGAATGTGGCGCTCCAGAAGTATATAAACCAATATGGAGGTAACTAATTTTGTTCGCTTTAATTATATCAAGTTGTTTAAAGGGACTAAAACCTATGGGCAGAGGGTATCTTCACTTGGCTACTACAGACAGTCCCAAACTCGTAATAGAACTAAAATAAGAAAATCAGAATAAAATTATGACCTAACCTAGTAACATTACGGAAGTACCCTGACTTTCGCTTCGAATAGGACTCTAGTCAAGTAAAAACTGCTATAAAAAGAAGCTATTATGCTCTGAAATTTGCTCATACCAAAGCTTTTGAGAGGCAGTCACAATTATATGCTAATATAGGTACTATGGTTTTGGGTTGGGTACCCGGTAGTTTTTGTATATTCCAACGAAGTGCTAGTTACAGGGTTCGACACTGGTAACTTTAGCTCATGGGTCGGCAACCTACGGCTCGCGGAGTACTATAATCCGGCCCGCGACGTCTCACTGAATAATAGTAACAAAACAGGTGTTTTGACGATTATATTCTTTACGTAACAGAATTTATTGTAAGACAAGTGTGGACTAAATTATAATATAATCTAACAAATACAAAAATCACAAGCACCCGCTTATTTAGCCCATAATTTAATTATAATCAGACAAATGGCAACAAAACGCAGAAAAGTTGATGCTAAATGCAAATGGTTCGAATGAGGAAATAAATCTATAATATATTCGAGAGATGTATCACTGCTTCATATTTTTTATAAAGAGTATCACTTTTACTCATATGTGCAACCTTTAATTTTGGCCCGTTAGCGAGAAAAGGTTGCCGGCCCCTGCTTTAGCTGGTCGTGTTCGAATATGTGAAAAGTGAATTTTTTTTTCATGAACTTTTATTTTTCAAATGCACTCACTTAACAAACTTTCATTTCAGACGTTGACGAATGTGCGGCAGGAACCGTGCTGTGTGATCAGGAATGTCGAAACCTTATTGGACATTATGAATGCGCCTGCTACGATGGATATGAACTGACTAGTGATAACTATACTTGTTCGGGTAAGTCGCAACAGTTTTATTTGAACTGTTTTCTTTCTGAAAATGACTCTGAAAAGTCACTGATATATAAAGAGATACTATACATCGAAATGTCCGGAATCTTCGAGTTTTGGCATTGGATATTTAATTCATAAATGTATAAACAGGGCCACTGTATGTTATATATACATATATAATATTCAATATATGTTTCTTAAGCAATTATATAAAATGACCTATTTGCCAATGTTCATTAACCAGCGGTGACATTTAGGAGGTTTGCCCAAACCTAAAGGGTTACGTGCGAAACAGACGTTGACTAGTAATATAGCTTACGCTGCGACACACATTCGTAAATATGTCGTACAGTCAATTATAGACTGTATACTACAGAGCTATGAGTTCGGCATGGTTTTCTGAAAATGAGAGAACCCGGTATTAGTGAGTTCGATACAAAAGAGAACCCGTTTTAAAGAAGAAAATTCTGAATCCCATCATTGCTAATAACCTATATTACCTTTCCAGACATTGACGAATGCTCTCGCAACATCTCCGACTGTAGTGATGGCTGTGTAAACACTAGAGGGAGCTATCGATGCTATTGTTTCCAAGGCTACAAGTTCATCGAAGACAGCAACAGCACTTGCGAAGGTGGGTACAGCAGCGTTTGCAAATTTTTAAATTTCGAAATTGAAATTTAGCTTCCATTTTATACACTAGACCAGTGGTTTGCAAACGACAGAGTACAATCAGTAGTCTCGATCAGGGGTGGGCAACTTCATTAGTCGGCGGGCCAGATGTGGGAAAATGAAGTCCTCGGCGGGCAGGATTATAACAAAAAAATACGGTATCCAATCTTTGTTAAATGCTCGACACTCTCTGTCAATTTTACGTTTCTTGGGATATTCCATGGTTAATAAAACCTAATATAAAATCTAATTTCTAAAATTTATTCATATTTGAAATCTAAACATAACTGATATAACAGTAGTGGGGAATGTTTATAACGCTCTCTGCTTTGACCTTATATTGATTGTTTAACAAGTGTGCTAACGCAATTGTTTGTTCACTGAGGCAATTGTTTGTTTCACCAGCTCGCACTGACAGTGTGGTGAGAGTAGAGCGATTGGCAACTTTCAGGAATGATGCGTCGGACCACATTACAGAGTGTGGTTGGATACAGTCAGCGGGCCCGTCAAAATCTCGTCGCGGCCCGGGGGCGGTATGTTACCCACCCCTGGTCTAGATGTCCAGGGTTTCGCAAGTTTCAATTCAAATCCGTGAGTCTATATCTGGCATGGGCAAACTACGGCCCACGTGCCAAATCCGCTGGGTGATTCAAACTGACCCGGCTGATGCTGCCATAAATTTCTGTTTTTAACCAATTTTACATGCACTACAATGACTACATACTTATTGGACACGAAGTGAACATAACGATCGTTTCAAAATTTTGTTGTTATTGTTGTTTGTCTCCGTCTCCATTTTTAAAAAATCGCTTTTCTCTTCGAATACTGGACCAATTGCTTTGAAATTTTCAGGGGTTAAAGATAAAAATTTTCTCCAGAAGACTATTACTTTTTTTTTCGCTATGACGTCATCAAAATTATTGCCATTGGGTGGCGCTACGTGTCCATATATTTGAGCAGAGCTCTCTTGTTGTTATTGAAATCTGCATGGTGCAATAGGCTTGTTGGATTATGATCGTAGTCTGTGCAAGTTGTATTTTAGGTTGCCATGGAATAGACTTTCATCTTATGGGGACGTTAAAAAAACTTTACGTTTTCTCGCTCACTCGATTGGTCAGCGTGCTTCTCAAACGTCTTTCGTTCGAGTTTCAATTGATGGCCGGCAAAGTTTCATAAGCTGTCTTAACGTTCTTTTTTGTTCATATTTTACGCATTCTCGCCATTTTGTTCATAAAATGTAACTTTTTACGTCACACTTATATGACCCACCCGTCTAGGCCGTAGCGTATCTAGGGTGTGGAAGCCATGGCTCGTGTCATGGGCGCCGTATGGTCAGGGGCGCAAAAACGGCGGAAAGTTTTAGTTGTATAATATTTCAATAAAATAATTTCAAATTAAAAATAATTAAAACCCGTAATTTTATTTAAATAATAACGTGCAAGTATTTTAATTCAACAATAGCACACGTAACAACTAGGGCTGGGCAAAATGTTCGAATAATGAAATATTCGAATGGCATTTTACTATTCGAATATCCGGTACCACGTGACCTCTGAGTATTGACCTCTGAAATTCTGGATTCCTGTTATGTATAAAAAAAATATTCATTATTCGATATTCGTTAAAGATATTTAAATTATTTGATTCGATTCTGCCCACCCTAGACTAACAGCCATTTAATTTGGCTTTGATTTCTAATAAGTTTGTCATAGCGGGTCGTAATCGTGGAGGATGCAAGGTGCAGTAGCTGCTTGAGATGATCGCAGGATATTTCGGGACTATTTTCGATTACTGAAACAAAATTAAAATGCTCTAGAAATTAAAATATTTATTGAGTTATTTGATTTATACATAATATTCGGAAATGCGACAAAAACTGAAAATCCACGAAAGCAAGCCAATGATTACAGCTACGTCTAAAATCTTTCCAAGTGAAAAGTGTACGAGTGGCCGCGAAAACGCTTACTGTAGCGTCACTATTGCATCTTGTAGATTAGTCAACGCTACGCAAATAAACAGGGGGGAATCTATTCGACTAACTAATAGACTTCCGCATTTTAATTTCAAGTCAAGAATTAGTTTCAATGAAAAATTTTTTTAAAAGTAATTAATTTTTAAAGCATTAACAAGAGCCGCAGGAAAGGTTGTTGAGAGCCCTAGTTTGCGAATCACTGGTCTAAATGGCCAAATTTTTGGTCCCTGGTCCAAAAACTTGCCCGCCTCTAGTCTATGTTTTATATATATTGTTTGAATTTATTCGAACACACATGCACTGTATAATATAATCGTAATATTAGCGTGTTTCACTTGTCTGCAGATTTCAAGGCGGATAAAGATCGGTATTTTGTTGGTAAAAACTTTCTCTTATTATTATTACTGAACAATTTACAGATACGGATGAGTGCGCAACAGACAATGGGGGATGTCATCATGTTTGTGAAAATACTCTGGGATCTTTCAGGTAATTTGTGTTGTAACGTCATGTTTGGGGTAATCAGGTCAGGGTCAGATGCAAATATTGGGTACTCCCGTAGTGTGTACCAAGTCAGGCCATAATTTTATTCCGATTTTCTCTTTTTTAGTTTTAGTACGAGTTCAGGGACTATATGCATTAGCCGGGTGAATATACCCATGCCCATGGGTGTCAGTCCCTTTACTCAACTTCATGCAAAGTAGGCGAACAAAATTAGTTGGCAGTCATGGAGCACCAAGTTATCTTGCAACAATAACTATTGAAACGCCAAAGATAACCAGTCCCCAGTTGCGGTGCGCGTTACTTACATTCACACACAATTTGGGTGTCGCTGCTCGATAACCAAATTTGGTTCCCCGCGGCTTCCCTTCCCCAGTAAAAATGTGTGTTAAATTTTGTTTATTTTTTGATTTTGTATGTTATTTTTTTGCTGGTTGAAAAAAATAAAATTGACTATGACTATGACACACACATCTTGTTTGCCTGGCTCAAGCTTTCCCGACATGCCCACTGGTTACCAGTACTTGGGACATTTAGTATTAATTTAATATGAATATAGTGAATTGGTTTTCGGCCAAATTTGAATCTGGAAAATTGGTACCAAGCTAATTTGAATACAAGGATTTTGTTACCATTCCAGTTTGAGCGTGGTAATCTTGATATCAGTCCGTCTTGAATATGACAATCTGTTTATAAGCTCAATGTGAGAATTGTCCGTTACCAATTACCGGCATAAACCATTCATGTACAGCGGTGTGGCGCATCGTTCGAAGCGATATAATATGCTGTCATCGCAGCTCTGATTACCCTGCGTGGGTTCGAAGGTTCGAATCCTGTGGCAAATAATTCTGTGCGACAGGATTGCCGGACTTCTCGCCGCCGTAAGGTGGTTCACGTAACCTCTGTTCGATTACTCTTTGCTCCACCGTCAAGTCCATGCTTCCGAAGAATGGCTAACCAATTCCATACCCGACATGGAATGGTAACGGGACGAGGGGCCGTAGTTCGCGGTAAGATTCCTTCCTGTCCACCGGGATAAGCATATAAATCCTATCCACGTATTTGAGCATTTCTTCATTGTTCAGTTGTGACTGTCACGATGGCTATGAGGCCGGCTCAGATGACAGATGCCACGACACGAACGAGTGTCAAAAAAACAACGGCGGTTGCGGGCAAACCTGTAGCAACTTTGATGGCGGATACAACTGTACTTGTGACGCTGACTTTAAGCTAGGCGATGATGACCATTCGTGTTCGCGTGAGTTTTTGCTGGCCTCAGCGTTTTTTTTTTTAACTTGAGCTTAAGAGCGAGTGCTAACATATATAATAAATCGAAAAAGAGACAAATCGAGAGGATTTTACAGCAAAAGCAATTTTGAAAAATCATGTGAATAATAATTAGATAGAGAGAAGTTAATAAATTTAAAAAAAAAACTTGCAGCAAAGTCTAATTCGCTGGGCTAACCTTACTCTTTGTAACAGATTGTCCCTCGTGTGAAATGTTTGAGCAAGTGCAAGCTGACGTTGAATCCATGAAACAAATGACACAAAGAGTTCAGGAACTGATCGAGGCAAACATGAGACTCGCTGCTACGGTAAGACTACTAGAATAACAAAAGCACAAACCTTTAACAACCTTCACAAAGTAAGATTACTCCTAATCCCTATGCGTTTGCCGATAAGACAGCGTAACTAGGCAAAGACAATGGTATTTTGGATCCATTGTTGATCCAACAAAACAATAAATAGTGGGAATTGCGTTGCCAGTAATATAAAGAAAACTAGCGCTCCAGTTTTCTCTGTTCAGTCACTAAAGACTTGTGCCTTCAAGCCTGACGTACCCTTGATCACCTGAATACTTTACGGGCCGCATGAAACTCCTTAGCGGGCCTCATGCGGCCCGATAATCAGTAATTATTTTTTCACCTTTTAAAAAATACACGTTAGGCGAACATTAGATATTTTAATTAAATTTTGCGGTCTCAGTTTAATTTATGGCATCACTTATCAGTGGTTTTGATGCACCTTTTTATTGTTTTTTTTATTCTGGCCGCGTGGCACCAACATAGAACCTTTTGGGGTGGGGAATATTGGCACAAGAAACGTACTGTGGGAAGATTTCATAATGTGGCACAACATCCTTTGTGACGTAACACGCAAAACGGACGAAGGCGATCTCTAAAAAAGATACTGGTAGCGCTATAAACGCCGTTCAGCAAATACATACAGTATGGAGCAGTGGTCGGCAACCTTTTTAAAGTGACGGACCGGTAAAGCTTGACCAAACTTTTGGCGGACCACCTTTATACAAACAAACTAAGCCTATGCAATAACTTATATGCTTCTTACTTCCAGCCTATTTCGATATTTCGCTTTTGTAGTTACCAATATTGAAAACCAGGCCTCACATTAAGATTTCGGGAAAGTTAACAATGCCTGAATTGTTTTGTTGGGGAGATCTTAGTCGGACTGATGAGAGACATTCTTATACGGCCGTAGAGAAAACAATTGACCCAGCATTATTGCGACATACTGACATGGCAGTTGTTTATGAAATCAGACATCTTGCTCAATAGTGTAATGCAGTGGTCGACAAACTTCATGTACTTGCGGGCCAAATATAAAAATTTCCGCCAGCGCGCGGGCCGCAATATTTCCGCCTTCGAACAATCGCTACCATAATTAAACTTCAAATTATGGCGCATTCGCATTGCTACCATTTTATTGCTGTATTAAAAGCTTGTCCCAATGAGATGTATATGTGGCATTTTTTTTATTATGCGACAATACATTGTTTTTATGTACTTATTATCAATGTGAAAGATGATGTTTTTATGGCGTCGTCCAAATGGTGATCTGACAAGCGAGTACGAAATTTAATCTGAGTGTAATGCATTTTAGATAAAGCTGCTCAGGGCCATATGTTCTTCCGAACGTGCACATTACACGTTTTGCACTGTCGCACAGATGAGCTGTGGCGCAGTCCCGGGTCTCGGGGTCGAATTTTCGACGACTCGTTGCGTAACGAGTTCAACATTGAAACCCTTAACAACTGCGATGCTGACTGGGCATATCGAGCAAACCGGTTTTGGGATGCGCAAGAAAGAAAAATATTTTTCCGTTCAAGCACTTTGAAATGCTCGACCCGCGTCGCTCCGTTTTCCAGTCATTTTCAAATTTTAAAAATCAAAATTAACTCGAACGACATACAACTGACGCTACTTGTTACATAAGAAGCTCCGTACAGCAGCACTTGTCACCACATAAATTTGGAATTAATTTTTGTTTTTTTTATTAAATGTCGGGTCGTTCAAGGGCCGCAACAAATTAGCTCGCGGGCCGCATTTTTTCCGACCCCTGGTGTTGTGTTTGTCTGGTTTACTGTTGGGTGCTGTTTTTAGTCGTAGTGTTTGTGGTTAGATTGTAGAGATTTTATTAAGGCATTGTCCGTTTTTGTGTCACCTCTCTGCGGACCGGCAGTAACCTTTCCGCGGACCGGCGGTGGGCCGCGGCCCGGTGGTTGCCGACCGCTGGTATGGAGCACGAAATCCAAGCTTGGGGTCGCGACCCATACTTCAAAAACTACTGTTTTGTAAACATTGCCTCGTTTTCGCAGTTTTGCGTGTCATTTGTCAATTTTTAGTTTTATTTCCAGAATAAGTTGTAAATGATGTGTTTCAATTGTTATTTTGTCTCCCGATAAGCTTTAGTTTTTTTGTGGGGATCAGAAATCAGTTCCGGAAAAGCTGCGATAGACTAGGCTAAAATCAGCTAGCACGTGCAAGAGGGACGTGGTTGTACATTTTGATAAAAAATAATGGTTTTGAGCGTGTAAATTAGTTTGTCAACGCTCTAAAACACTATCAAAATAAGCATCCAAAATTTTGTAATAGTAAATTATATGGAGAATTTTTCTGCGGTCAATGGTCGGGGAAACATCCATAGGCAACGAAGCATCTACAACTCAAATCTTTGTAGTTTAAATTTATTCAAAGATCTATGAATCGTTGTAATGGCCCCGGGCAACCCAATTTAGTGCATTTTAAGTTTGTTAGTTACTTCTTCTTATTTAGTTTTCTAATTCTAACTCGATTTTACTTTTAGGTTTCCAGACTGGAAGACCAAGTCAACGATTTGATCAGCAGGAATTCTTAATATTCGAAGCATACGAACGAGATAGCGGAAGGACAAATTTAACGCTGAAATTTTTGTTCACTTGAATCGTTCCCACGTTTTACTTAATGGACCATATTTGAATAATTAATTCTCCTATTATGAACATTTGCTCATTGTAAAAATGTCGCGTAATGCACCACCATAATTCTGTATTGTTTCAGTAGTTTTGGTATGTCAGTGGTCGCCCGTAGCGTTTGCTGCAGATGAGTTTTCTTTACTTTTGAGTGAGTACCCGTAACTTTGCTCAGCGGTGAGTCTCCTTTACTTCTGAGTGAGTGCCCATAACTTTGCTCAGATATGAGTATCATTCAATTATGAGTGAGTGCGTGAATAATGCACAAGTAGCTCGTGGTGTTCCAATGTCCTCCCTCAATTTTGATCAGAGATTAGTCTTCTTCACTTCTGAGTGAGTGTGTGCGTACAGCACTAACTTGAATCTATATTGTATCAGAAGCCCTTGGCATTCCAGTGCTTAACCGTAACTTTGTACAATATGCGCTTGGTTAATAGGTATTGCTTTAAAGATATCAAGGTCGTTTAATCGGTCACCCATTCCCACGATTGAGTTTACTATAAATGCTGAAAAGTCGTTACACGTTTTTTAATTATTTGAATATTACTAGTATTCATATGAGCCTAGTATTAATTACTAAGCCTCGTAATCATACCAAGGGTTATCACATGATATTCTGATTTCCAAAAGCTGCTTCTTTTTGTCTCAAATTTGAATATATTATACAAGCATTAAATACAACATTACCTTGAAATATGTTCCCCGGTCGGGAAAAAATTATACTGTTTATTTATGTGGGGAAGCGGGGAGGGTTGGGTATTTTGTATCTGCTCGTAGTGTTACTTACATTGGCTCATTTATCAGTATCACAATTCATATTTATGCTCGTATTACGAACTAATATAAGTCAGTACAAGTTGTGCCCATCGCTAGATAATGATTGAACATCATTAGTGATTTCCCCCAAAAAATATGTTAAAGTGAGAAAACTGCTCGTTTTTGCCATCAGCAGTTCTGGAAATCTACGCAGTGCACCCCCAAAACATGCAATTATTATTGGACAACACCTCCTATCCCCAAAAAAGGCGCATTCTATTCTTATATTTTTTTTAAATTGCCAAGTTTATCTCAAATGCTGGGCTAAACATCAGAGCTAGTGTCTAGTTCAAGTTTCTAAATTGAGCCTAACAGGAATATATATATGTATACACATTAACATAGTCTCACGAAAATGAATGGAAACTCTTGGAACCACAGAGTTAACCTAATCTAGTACGTTTTAGAAAACATTGTATTAAAGGGGCCCGGTGACGTTTCAAATTTGTGTGTGTATCAGAGCTATGGGATTTGAGTCAAACTGTCTGGAGGCAGTCTAATTTTGAATTCCTGAAATAATTTTAAACTTTTTAAAATGACAAGAGAACGCAGAAAACTCAAAACAAGTCAACATAACTCAAGCGCCCTTAAGAGGCTATTCATAGAGGCTTGCATAGCATGTTTACGGTAGCAAAATTTGATTATTTAGAGTGCTGAGCTGGAGTCGAATTTTTGCGATCCAACAATTACCGATCACGTTTAAAGTCGGCATTGTCATGCAAAAGCGCCGCTTCTTTGAGTTTTTGCACCAGTTTGAAAAAATATGTTTCGAATCAAAAGTGTGAATTTGGTGCACTCTCGGAGACCCCTAAAATTCAATGCGTGCCCCCCCCCCTTCGGGTTCGCAACCGCCAGTTCACGAAACACTGTTATAGAGCACATTGGTTGTAAACCTCCAAGAGCCACTTGGGAGTGGAAACCTTTTTAACAGTTAATTTTATTTCAAGCGAATGAGCTACCCGAAATGCCTGTTGCAGATGCCCCGAAATTTGGTACCTATGTAGTATGCGAACCAAGATGGCGGACACCGTAACGAAGTATGTGTACCAGGTTAAGGTTAGGCCATAATTTCAGGCACAAATACTACGAGATCACTTGGCTAGTCCATAAAACTAAAAGAAAAATTTGAATAAAATTATGGCCTAACCTTAACCTGGTACACATAATACGGTCCGCTTCCACCATCCTGGTTCGCATACTACAGGAGTACCCGCAATATTTTCATTTAACGAGAACCCACAACCCAATAAAAATGAAAACCACTTGTAAATATATTGGAATGTGTTACCTCGGATGCCTGCTGGGGGCCAACCAGCAAAGGTTTTTTTCGAATCTCTAAATGGCCCTACTTAACCATCTCTACGATTAACTCCAATCTCTGTAAGAGCGGCAAACTGCACTAAAAAACCGACATATTCCATTGTAAGTGAATTTTATTATTACCACATAATCGATATTGTGATGTAATAGAATACATCCACATTATTTCTTGTATCCACGACTCTTTCTGCGTCCTCTGGCGCGTTCGAACTTACGTCCACTAGAGCGAACGTATGGCTTGGTTCGGCTGTGGGGAACACCTGGTGCCAATCCGAAATGCTTGTACACCTTGCGGCCCTTTCTTGGTCCTGAGAATATAGAAAAGTAGGGTTAAAGCAGGAGTGGGCACGGCTTTTGGACAAGGGACCAATTGTGCCAACCTAGACTGGCGACCCATGTAAGCGTGACGTAAAAATACATTTTATGATTAATATTTAAAGTGTTACAAAAACATCAAAATTTAGTTTTAGTTCGGTTGTGTCAGCATCAGGCGGGCCAGATTGAATTAACAATTTGGCCCGCGAGCATAGTTTGCCCGTGCCATGCTTAGAGTGAGTTAGGCCTCCAGGGTTCGCATTCCAGGGTGAGAGGAACCATAGAAAACCAAATTTGGATCCAGCAACAAGTTGAAACAACATTTTGAGAAAAAATTGAAATTGCCCTGAACCCCTAGTTTGTCATATTTTTAGACCAAACTCAAACTGTGGGGCAACCCACAAGAGGAGCCGTAGACAATTTTTTTGGGGCACATAACGCTACCCCCCCTTATATTTGACATTTACATTTCTTTATTATATCCCATCCACATATGTGTTTTTTGAATAAAACATATTTTCGCCTTATTATCTGTTATTTGTAGCTGTATTTGTTCTCGCATACTGACTGGTATGTAGTGCTTTTAGATCGCAAAATTAAATGGCTACTACAAAACAGTCATTTACACATAATATTTTTTGTAATATTGATATTGTTTTCATGCTGTGATATTTCCCATCAATGCAAACATATGGTTGAGCAAAACCACAATACCAAATATAACAAACAGAAGTATCCCGTCCCAAACTATACAGGGTGTCAATAAAGTTCTTTTTCAATTTTAATTTTGTTCTGAAGTCATTTCTCAATATATCTTGATAACCAGGTTTGTTGTTTTTTAATCAGAAATTGTTTAAGTATTCTCTACTTCATTTAATAAATCTGTGAGGGCCAAAACTATATACGATAAATACCGTTTGAAATTTTGAAAAATCTCAAGACTTGATGGACACCCTATATTATACGCATCCTTAACACACATACCTTGCATTAGGACAGTGTTCTGTCCCTTCGGTGCCTGCATTGCTAGTTGGTCCAACGTCATTATTTCTCCCCCAGCTTTCAAGATACGAGCCCGAGCACCGGTAGTGATTCGAAGAGCACAGACCTGAGAAATGACAAGCTTTTAAATTTCTACACAACACTGATGCAAAAGGCCACACCCAATAAACCCAGAAAGCAAAGTTTTTTGCTATGGCTGCATTCAGTGAATTTTTTTTGCAAGTCAAGAAAAGTACTTAAATTTTTACAACACCTTTAGTAAGGGCGAAGCCAGTGGGGTTTTGAGGGTTAGTTGGAACCCCGCTTTCATTTGAAATGTGAAAAAAGAAAAATTCACGAATCACACATAGCAAGTTTTTGTAGCTTGAAATGCTTTCTAGAAATGTTTTGAAAACCCACCTTTTTCGGCCAGGCCAGCAGGCTGATACAGTCTAATTTACCATTTAGAAATTTTAGTCACCCCCTGGTTCCTGGCCATGACCAACCTTTGTTTAAATTTGAATGTAAAATATCGCGGTTTGTGAACTTAAATGAATATATCATATGAAAAATATAAACTGAAACAAATTTATTAGAAAACGCATTACAGGTTAATCACCACAGTAACACCAGTTTAATTTCAGTCACATTTTAAGGTTTTATAAAAAAGTGTATTTTTGTCATTTTCAGACCTGTACAGCCAAATCTAAAAATGGACATAAAGCACTAACCACCAAAAAACATAACCAAAACAGGCATTGAAACCCATAACGAATGATGGCTCCATGAAAAGAATTTTTGCCACCACAAGAGCAAGTGCCGCACAAAATACTAGTAGGTCAAGCTTAGGTTCACCTGTAGTATGCAAACCAAGATGGCAGAACATAAGGTGTGTACCAGGTTAGGGTTAGGCGATAATTCCATTTAATTTTTGCTTATTTTAGTTCTATTACGAGTTCACAAGCCAAGTGACTCCCGAAGTATTTGTACCTAAAATTATGGACTAACCCTAATCTCGTACACATACTACATTCCGATGTTCGCCATCTTGGTACGCATACTACATGAGTACCCGAGCTTGTCCACCCCCGTCCTAACCCAAGAACCCATAAAGAAAAACATTATTACCTTCATCTTCGGGATTTGGAATATTCTTTGATCGTCAGTGATCGTTCCAATAATAACAGCAGTCTTGCCATCACGTTCCTTTTTCTTCATGTTACGAACCTACGAAATAAGAGAATTAAGTTATGAGCAGTCTAAGGCAGTGGTTTCCAAACTTTTTTGTCAAATTCCTTCCTTTGCTTACAGCATAAAGTCTTTAATAAATCTCTTTGCTAGTAGTGTTTGCACGAGTTGCACCCCACTTTTGTACAGTTAAAGGAGTTTATTAGGTACCTCCGTAGTATGTGTAGCAGGTTTTCCTCATTTTAGTTCTATTACCAGTTTGGGGACTGCCTGTGTTAGCCAAGTGAATATCCTCCTGCCCATAGGTTTCAGTCCCTTTACACAACTTTATGTGAAATAGGCGAACAAAATTATTTACCTCCATATTGGTACACATACTTCCGGAGCGTCATTTATTAGGTATTCATGAATAAGCATTATAGTAATCATAAAAAATATTAACAATACTGAAGCAGATGTCCACAGTAAAACCAACAAAATTCCTTTTCACTTGAGAAATGTTGGGTTAAAGTTCATAATTTTTCCTATATGATGCCAAACAAGGCAAGGCCATGTACAAGTTACCACTAATAACAGTACGTCAGAAGTTGCAGTTACACTAAGTCTAAGGCGCTCCAGAAGTACGTGTACCAATATGGAGGTAACTAATTTTGCTCGCCTACTTCACATCAAGTTGTGTAAAGGGACAGAAACCTATGGGCAGGGATATATATTCACTTTAACAACACAGACAGTTTCCGAACTCGTGATAAGATTATGGCCTTACCCTAACCTGGAACACATACTACGAGTGCACCGAGTCTAATGCTTTACTAACTGCTATCGGAACACATGTGATATATATGCAGGAAGGCAAGAAGGTCTAATAGTTAAAAACAGTACAAAAAGAAACGCAAATATCAAAACGTATATTTCACACTAAAATTTTTGAATTATTGGCATTTTAGCAGCCACCCATAACCCAAAAATGAGCCTTTTCTACTTCTAAGTTGGTGGGAGTTTGTTTAAGCAAATTTTCCAATTTTTTCATTTAAATTAACCCTCTACTCACCACACGTGCCAGAGAGATTGGCGGTCGGTTGGTTCTGCTCATGAAGAGACGCTTCAGAACAACTTTGTTGAATCCTGAGTTTGTCCTACGGACCAGGAAACGGTAAAGCTGCAATAAAAATATTGAAAAGTGATAACCTCAGTCAGTTCTTTATCGTCGGCGCCAATGCCATTTCGGTCGATCGTGCGTATATTTGGCAAGCTTTATGACGTGATTGTAATGTCGTAGTGATTTAATTTTTGGATGGCGTAATCAGATGGGGGTTAGGATTGACATATCAAAAAATTGTTATGCTACGCCCACTAGAAGTACATTAGGTATGAAACTACACGAGACCCAAATAATCAATTTTTCTTGCCATCTGACCGTTATCCTTCACTGCCCTAACTTCGGACAGTCATTTTCCTGACTGCGTAACGCGACGCACAGAGAGAAAGAGGCTTCCGATGCGGGTGATGTATTCACGCTGTAGCGTGCAGATAAGACGCTCGATCGGCGTCGTAACGTAACATCAACTTCGTGACGAGAATGCATTATTTAAAACTTCCATCGTCATATGTTTACATCTTTCGAGTGAACACACTTCGAGTGAATAAAATTCACCCAGGCTGTAAATCAATAACTGCCATTTCGATTTCGAGGCATAAAATAATTGTTTAGTCAGTATACAGTGCCATATGGCTGTATGGACGTTGGAATTTTTCTAGTTTTTATATATTCAATTTTTGACGTCGTCGATTAAGTAAGCATATATTCACACATGGACCGAAAAAAATACAAAAATATTACACTGGAACGCAGTCTTTATATAAACGGAAATGTCAATTTGGCGCCGTTATGTCGGGCGTCAAAATTCACGCAGTGTGACGTCGTCCAGAAGTGAGCGAAAAAAGTTCTACGAGATGTTGACGTAACTTTTGACGCAGCGTAAAATCTCAATATTTTTACGGAATTCATAATTCAGAACTTTTGGTTTTATTAAAATCTCGTAAGACATCTTGCGATCACTCTTATGAATTATATACATTGTTATCGTCCTCTACCGAATGATGGTATTTTGACGACAAAAGCTTAAGTAGGAGCGACGCTCTGCGCCGTTGAATACCGGGTAATCCTGTAATCATTTTTCGGCAATATTTCCGTTTTTTACCAAAAAAAATACCGTAAAAGCAGCTAACTTCGGATGATTTCACTATATTTTAATCAATAACTCTGCCGTTTGTTGTCCAATTCGCGTCAAACTTGAAATATATTACATTGATGTAATTCTCTGCATCTACATATAATTTTCTCGATGATCGGATCATTTTTTCTGTCTTAAGTGTCTCATTTTCTGTGATCTGTAACGACGCAAATAAATATGTAACTTCGGATGGGTGTATCCCCTCCCTGCGTCACCGCAACTAGAGCGAAAAGTGCGTGCGTGAGGACAAAACACGCTATACGTCGTTGCGTAAATGCCAGATGTTCAATCCACGTCGCGAGCGACGATGATAATGTCGACCGTGGGATTTCCGGCGTGGCACTTTCAAGTTGTTTTTATACTAAAATGTCTCGTCTTATTTTCTCTTATCGTAACTTTAGATCCGAATATTCACCCATCATAGTCGATTTAGTTATAGCCGATGATGTTTTGATAGCGTTTTTTTACACTCCGCAGTCACACCATGTATAGTCGCACAATATATATTATTGAGCATGCACATGACAGCACTCTTTATTAAATTGACCTATTTAAATGTCGACCGTGCATAATTCACAACAGAACACCGATTTGGCAATTGGCAACTTTATTAAAATTACTTTCGTTAAATTCACGAAACGGAACTCACTTGCAACAATGATTGTTGTTATTTATCGCTGGTTATATATTTTTATATTTACGCAATATTTCTCGACTGCTCACAATTTTTCTATTTTGAACCATGTTGCGGTACCAAATGGAGAAATATGAAATCGTCAAATCGAATGGATATGCTTTTCATTAATTGCCATTTTCAATAAATTTAATTGAATTACATTTCCAGCATTTGACGCCATGAATTTACGATCCACAGAAAATGGTTGATGCGTATATTTTGCCGATATTGATCAATCGAACAAAATATCGTTGTTATTTTCAAATCTACGACAACTCGTCGGCGCCCGAATGTCTGGCGTCAAACCTGTAACGGCGACGCAACATCACGTCGTCCTCGAAGTGAGCGACGTTAGGGTGACGTCAAGTTCAACGTTTGCGTCAGATGCTATTATTGTGATAAAAAAAAATTATTCAAATTTTAATTTTTTTATCGGGTCTCATACGACATCTCGCGATCAGTCTAATTTCTATATACATTGATAAAGCCCTCTATCGAATGATGCTATTGTCACGATTTGAGCCGCTCGAAAACGGAGTCAATTTTATGTTAAAACATGATTTTTTTTAATCATAAAATAAATTAAACTGCGCGATTGAATATGATAACAGATTTAGATATACAAGTCCTCACTATAGAAACTGTCATAAGCACAATATGACGCAATTTAGTCGAGATAAAAACGATTAAAAATTTCATCCGAAGTTACAAACCATCCGAAGTTACCTGCTTTTACGGTAATTATGCAACATTAAAAAGGTTAAGAATAGGCTAGATGTATATATAAGATTTTAAATTGGCAATATACCACGCCTTTTAGTCAAGATATGACCGTTTAAAATTTTTGTCCGAAGTTAGGAACTGTCCGAAGTTAGGCGCTTTTACGGTATTGAAAATGTCATCCGAAGTTAAAAGGCATCCGAAGTTATCTGCTTTTCAGCTAACGGTACTTCACTGAGACCCCATGCTCCGATTTAGTGTATAAAAAACAAAACTACCTTGACCAACAGACGAAGATAGATATCGTCTGTCTTGCATGCTTTCCTCCTGGCCTTTCGGTCCTTGTTGTGGCGGATATCGATACCCTGTAAGCAATTTAAACACCTTCAGTAAAAGACATATTTCGACACGAAAAACTAACTGCAAAGCTACTATTTTACTAAAATCGAAATCTTAAAAGATCATTTTATTCGAAACATTGAAAAAATTAGTTCGAATACTATCTAATACTGCGATGATATAAGATATTAAAGGAATAATATTACAAATCTCAACCCACCATGGTGGCCGAGCAAAAGAGACCGTCCTGTGCTTACTCAGGCGCAACCTGAAAAATACAATGAACCACTGATAGCGCTATAGAGCTCTTTTGCTTCATTTATTATTTATACAAATGGAGAGGAAAGCCGATATGATGGATAAAATATACCGAACAAAAAATTATATATACATTAAATAAAGATTTCCAGATTTTTCAAATATTAATCAGATACCAGAATCTTGGTTTCCGCTGTTTGATAACCAGCTTTGGTTACCCGCAGCTTCCTTTCACCGGTAACAAAAGTATGACCTTGACTTTTCACATATTGCAAGCATTTGTATCGTTTAATATTTTGCTGGTTGAAAAAAAATGAACCTGACTCTTGCCCGGTTACCAGTTCATGTATGATATGGGAGTAGGTAAACCAGTTATTTGCATTGAATGCTCAATCTTGGGCTGGCTACCTTTTTGGGGCCATATGATGAAAGAGGAAGCCAATGATGGGATTTCGGAGTTTCGCACGATTATTGTGTCGTGATAATTTACAAACTCGTTCTTGCTTTATGTTTTGGACGACTACATTAGCAGTCCAGCATGCACTGCGTCTGACAACTAACGTTATATTTGGCGTTATGCCCTGAATGTCATGTTAATGCACCTTACGTCGTGCATACCTTTTTGAAACGTGGAAACCTCTTGTTGGTGATTTCGACAAAATGAAGAACTCGTTTATTTCACTACTGGAGCACTGACAAACACTTACGCCCTCACGTGAACCCCGCTGGGGCGGTGAGAAGCTCACTTGATAACCAACAAAACCGAGCAAGGTAATCAGAGGTTCAACGACAAGCGTATTCGTAAAGCTCAGCACAATGTGGCAACCGTCGAGCCTGTGTATCATTAAAAAGCAGTGGGACTCGTTCGTTGGTACAGCCTCGCCCAGTATTACTGAAGTCGAACCGTTTTATTCACACTCGGATTTACAAAGCTGAAACATCCAGGGTGTTCATGTGAGCAGACGACATGGCAGAAGGTGGACAGCAAAACCAACAGCAACAACAGAATGTATGTAATCTTTATTTTTCCTTGAGCAATCTACAATCTCAACGAGAAAATGTACAGTAAGTTGACTACCTAATTTACTAAACTAGAATATGAGATCGAAAACCCGAATGACAAATAAATCTATGACATAGGACGCTGTTTCCTGATTAACGGATTCAAAAATATTGTACAAAAGATGGTGTCGAGTATTTTTGGAACAGGGAGGTGGCATAAATTAATTTCTCTCGAATTGTAACGAAATCTCATAAACCCTCAAATACACAATTGAAATCATTGTTGAAATATAATATTAGAATCTCGATACATGTAAAAACTGTTACGAATATTTCTTCGGATAGTATATATGTGTGGCGATTGGTGACATCTGATTGAGTAAGATATATCTATAAATGTAGATTTTCTAAGGATAGATAAATGCAGTGGTAGGATTCAGCCGGTTCACACCGGTTCTATAGAACCGTCTCACAAAATTTTTCGAGATCAGCAAACCGGTTAGCATTACTGGTTATTGACTTATTGTCAATGACTTTTTGTAACAGAATCGGCTGAAAAAATATAACTTTTGTGGTGGAACTGGCTGACAAAAAATTTGAGTCCCACCACTGGATAAATAATATCTAAGTTTGTCAAAAAAACTAAATGCCAGAGTCTTATACTTGAAGCCGAACTGGACGGTTAGGATAAACCAAATATGGCAAGTTTGAAATGTCTTACGTATATATATGTCCATATTTAATTTAGAGCATAGACTACAACAAATGTGATTGCTGCAGGAGAGATTGGACAGATAAATATTCCACAGGCAGCTGAACAACAGAATGTCGAACAACAGGCAGCTGACAACGTTCAACCAGATAATATCGCTGAAGGTGTTGAGGGTTTGAATTTGTTACCGAAAATTTCCGAGGCTTCTGAGAGTGGAACTATTAGAAAAAAAAGTCAGTTGTGTTCTCTGTTGCAATATGGCGGTTATGAGTTATTAAAAAAAGGTTGTAATATTGCGCCAAGGCTTGTTTGAGCCAGTATCTCACGAACATCTTGGGATTTTGACGCCCTCCAAAAAATATGTTCAAGTTGTTCCCCGTGAAAAATTTCTCGACACCTTTCATTGAAAGACTTCTTTGGCAATGATTTTTATTTCAATTATACCTGAGGAGAACTGCCGTCATGTCAATATTGAATATCCGTTTGATTCCACGGGCAGACAAAGTGCTGAACGTTGCTCAGCAATGCTTAGAAATGAATGACATGCATGACGCAAGCCTATCTATAGTGTGTGTCATAATTGAAGAAATTCAAACGTCGCGAGGCCCAATTTTAGAACCATTGGTTTAAGCCATTAGCAAATAAAAATTGACACCAACAATGTAACTACGTCTTCCCAAAAAAAAAATTGTACAAAGTCTCACACCTCCAGGTAATTACTTTTCATGAATTATCTCAAGTCTAGTTTTCATCAAAGTAAAACTAAAACATGGGTGATGCTTTGAAAATTTTCTTTTTTTCGCCACTAAGAATCAGATCCCTATAGGAAAATATTTTGAGAACAGGCAAAATTTAAAATATCCCGAATGCGAATCGTTGACACAGCAGTTTCTTGTCGTCATAAATTTTAAATATACATTCTATGCTACGTATACTCATATAAAACTGAAGAATGTGGTGTCTGAGCTAAGTTACGAACAAGCACTGAATGCCAAGAGTTGCCGACGTGAATAATTATAATGAATAATTCCGCATTAAAGAATACCGATTGATCCGTGATTTGAAGTAACCGTTACAATAACTAGGGCATAAGTGGTAGTCAAATTTATTCGGTCACTTGAAGCATGATCTCTAGTTATGTATATTTTCCACCGAAAATCTCACTCTTCCAGATGATCGCAAAGTTCAAGACATTCCAAGAGAATCTGCAAAAGACAAAATGGCTGAACAAAAACAAAGGCCGCTGCCCTCTCTCAACACCGCAAAAGCTGGAAATAACTCTCTGAAGATTTCAATGCTGCGAAGTAAGTAGAAAAAGTAAAATAAAGGCCTAACATTGCGGAAACTATTGGTGTCAAAAACGCCTATTTAGACAGTTCAGCAGGGACTGCGTATTTTCTGAATAAGTTGGTCGCCGCCACTTGCAAATCCCTTACCGAGTCAATGTTTACTTGAAAATCTATCAACAGTAACATTTGCTACTATTTATCTAATTGCACTTGAGTATGCCGTTAAAAGTTCAGCAAACATATCATCTCCTTTCAGATATGAAGCGTAAAGACGCCTTCAAAAACAATTAAAGTTGACCTCTTGTACATATCATACATATCCTATTTAAACGAATATGGCTCAAGACAATCATACACTGACAAGAACGAAGACAGACCAAAATTTTTAGGGGGAAGCCAATCTTTTTTGTCCTTCCAGAAGTATACCAATATGGAGGTAACTAATTTTGTTCGCCTACTTTAGATCAAATTGTGTAATGGGAATGAAACCTATGGGCAGAGAGTATATTCACTTGGCTAACACAGACAGTCCCCAAACTCGTAATAGAACTAAAATAAGGAAAATTGGAATAAAATTATGCCCTAATCTGGTACATACACTACGGAAATACCCTTTTTCGTATAATGACGCAATAAGACGCTCAATCATGCATTTTTCTTTGAACGTACTGCGCATGAGGCATGGGGCCCCCTCAAACCCCGGTTACGGCTATGGTCACTTATACGCGCGGAAAGGACAAGTCTTGATATGCAATACAAATGCATTCGCTTCTGTAAGTGGTTTATTATATCTTTTATTGAAAACGACACATCTGTAATTATCGATTTTATTAGACTATAAAATGCATTTCAGTGAAATAAGTCAGTAAAGAAATCAGTAAATAAGTGACGCCGAACTTCTATTCCAGGCAGAGCAACAGCATTGATTGGACAGACCAAGTTTGATAAAGCAGCAACTCTACTTGAGGAACTTGCTCAACTGCAGAAATGTACGGAACTAGAGTCGGCACTCATGATGGTCGAATGTTATCTACAACTTGGAAGAGAAAAGAAAGGTGAAAAAGCCATAGATGACGTCAGACGAGAAATTATGACATCATCATTTGATGCTGATGACGTCAAAACCCTCGCGATTGACTTGATTTCGAATTCCTCTTACATTCGCGCTATAATATTGCTTCGAATAGCAAGTGATATCTACAAGGCTCGCACAAGAACACCCGATGATGTAATGAATTGGATTAAACTTTGTGTCGATAAGATAGATGATGCTACAAGGCCATTGATAGAAGCCGGTGGTCGATCTAAAATTATAGGAGTAGATTACGGCATAGAATACATGACAGAAATGCTGGATGATATTCGTGCAATAGAAAACGCTGATCCAGTGAATAAAGCAAAACAAGAGGCTGAGTGCTGTGATTACATTGGATATAACTATTTCCTTGCATATGAAGAGGAGAAAAGTATAAAAATACGAAAGAATGGACTGGAGGTTTTGGAGAAACAGTTCGGATCAAACGCTTCAAAATATCAAATCTACGGTTTATTGCTGAATAATATCGGTGTAGGGTATTGTAGTCTGCAGAAATATGAAGAAGCAGAATCCTATGATATTAAAGCCATTGATGCGTATGGAAAGGCTTCAGATTATGGAAATGAAGCTGAGAGAAAGGAAGATATTGAAAATTCAAAAACTGAGCTCAAGAATGCTCGAGCAAAATTAACCTGATATCTACATTTCATATTCACGGCGAATCGTAATTTACTAAATTTATCTCAAACAATGAATAAAATATTTAAAGTTTTAATTTACATTTGTTATGTAATTTAATACTGTGAAAAATGGTCAGTAGCAGTGGCGTAACAAGGGGGTGGTTTTGTGGGTCGACACCCCCCCCCCCCTTTTAAATGTAAAAAAAATAAAATCTTTTTTCTGTATCATAAATATCCATTTTCCGTAGCTTAAAATGCTTTCTAGACCCGCTAGCTGTTTCGATCTAACCTGACAAATAAAATTTTCAGAAGTCGCGCAGAAACTTTTATTTGGGCATTCTGTGTAGAATGTCATAAACTATCAAAAATATTGTAAAATTGTCTTTGTTGCATTGCAGCGTTATACTTCTCACAATAACTAACAGATGGACTGACTTACTTTTCTGCTATGCATTTGACAAGAATTAACTGAGCAAAGTTACCATACATGCTGAGTTATTGTAGAATACTATTAATGAGTAGGAAATGCTTTCGTATGGTTACTTTCCAATTTATTGTAATGTTCTTTTATGGATAATTTGTCAGAGGCTGTTGAAAATATAGTAAAATTATCTTGCATTGGCACGAGTTATGTCTTGAAATAACTTGTGGATTGCCACTAACTCGAGAGTGGCCAGATACCGGCCAAGGTTTATTTACGTTTATGAATCAGTATATTTCTCGTGTACTCAGTGAAACGAACTTTATTTTGTGAAAATTGTGTTGTATATATTCTAATTGGAGTAATTGAATTTCTTTTGTATATTTTATCTTCGTTTTATTATTTCATGATCAATTTTCATTCGCTGAATTGGAGTTTAACTCAAATTTCAATTGTTTTGACATTTTTTTATCGAATGAAGGAGAAATATCATTATATGTTCATATTTATATAACTCAAATAGAATTTCATTCTATTGAGTTGAAGCTCAATTATTAGGTTGTTTTGTTGATTCATTTTAAAAAATTTTGCTCAACTCATATTTTTGTCATTTTCAACATAATACCCATTACATAAAATCCATAGAAGTGTGTAGAATGTAGAGAAAACTTATTTCAATTCCACCGAATGTATTAATTTGGGTTTAGGTGATGTCTTATCTTTTTCACAATTATTTTGTTGTTTTTTTCACAGTATGATTTAAACTATTGAGTGATCTGTATATCTAACGGTTCGCAAATTTTATTTAAAATGCTTGAATTCAACCAGAATTTTTTTGTGGCGTTCTTATACCTTTACTTCTAACAAAATGCCAGTGATAAGTGGATGAGCTGAATTTTTTTTAAAAAGGGGAATTTTCCCAATTTAACATTTACAATCAGTGAACGCTGATTTCACTCATCGGGGCTCATTGTTCTTATTTGATGCTGCGAATCAGGTGATGTTTGCAGGATGTTTTATTGTCAAATATCAACGCTGTACTATGTATAATGTGCATGCAAAATCTAATAATCGTCGAAACAGCGGGTTTGCTATAATTCAGCGAAGCGTCGCGGGCCGGATTATAGTACTCCGTGGGCCGTAGGTTGCCGACCCCTGGCTTGAGCATTTAGCTTCTAATATTTCAGTTTTGATTTTCGAAGCGAATTTTTTTTAAAAACTGTAAATTATTCCTCATTACTTTGAATCCCAATAATTTATATATTGATTCTTATTCACCATTACATGTAAATCTAGTGATTTTACTGATTTTTTTATCAGTCAGATTCAACTAAAGCAGGGGTGTGCAACAGGCGGCCCGCCGGCCTTACGTGCTTACTGTTGACATTTCAAACTCAGTAAATTTTCAACAGGATATTCTCAAACATCGAATTTCGGCAAAATATTTATGACTAAGAAGAGATCCACTATTTGTCAAACTATAATTAATTCAAGCCAAAGTGTTTGTTAGAGATGGTTATTGCATGATCCGTGTTTATGTCACCGAGCCCAAGTTTGTCAGCGTTTATACTTTCACCCCAGCACAAACCTCTTTATATAAGAGTTTGGTTTATATAAGAGTTTATATAAGCCGTTTGGTTAGTAGTTTTCTCTTTTTTGGATTGCTAGTTTTCTATCTAGTTTCCAATATTTTAGTATTGATTTTTGGATTGATTGATTGCCAGTTTTTCATTGAGTTTAAAATATTTCAGTTTTGATTTTTGATTAAATTTTCCGTAAAAATGTAAATTACTCCCGACTAGTTTGAATCTCAATATTTTATATATTGAAATTGATTGATCATTTTAGTCACTACTACATGTAAATGTCAGTAATTTTATTGTATTTTAACAGTGTGATCCAACTAAAGCAGGGGTGTGCAACAGGCGGCTCGTGGGTCAAAAGCCGGCCCGTCAAGCCATTTAGTGTGGCCCTTGTAAGCACTCAGATTTTCCCACCAAATATCAAATGATACCCAAACAATTCATGTTGAAGAGAGAGTTCACATTAGTAAAAATACATATTGTTTTATTGTTCATGTCGCTGCGTTAAATCTTTCGCCGTTTCGCCCGGTGCATTTATTACTGTCATTTTAATTTCTTCATCCGTTTTATCGTTTAACTCGTTACGAAATTTTCAATTCGTTGTGTATATGGTCAAACTAATTTTGTGTGGCCCAGCTAGATGTCTGAAGGTTGCTATATGACCCACCAACAAAAAACGTTGCACACCCCTGGACTGAAGCGTGATGTTTTATATATATCTATCGATTCACAACTTTCTTCTGCAATTATCTGAAACGAATAAATTATAATCAAGTATGGCATTATATAATATCCAGGGATTAGCTGTACTAAGTGAACAGTGAGTCTCATTGACACATATCGCTTACGTATCAGATACGTATTATCTATAGATTCTATAGCACAAGCCCGTTTAGTAGGAGAGTATAAGTTCCTAAATACAAAATGGCGTTGATTGTCTTTTGAATCATCGCGCAAGGAAGAAATGTTGAAGTTAACAATATCGCGTATCGATATCGATAATATAATGCTTAATATTTACAACGCTCGGTCAGCAGGGGACAAATAACTTTGAGACTGGTTGGGGTTAAAACAAAATGGCGTGGATTGACTTACCGCTGGTAATAAAGGCTGTAGGTAAAAAGAATAAAAAACGCACCTAGACTGAACAAAACTGTCAAACAACGCTATGTTGCTATGGATTTTAACGCACCAGATATATATATTAAAATTGACAAATGTCGGTGAACAAGAAAACAATTGTAGTTTGGTCATCGATATATGTTACCGCTTTCATACTTAACTCATGCTATGGAGTCGTGATAAGCATTGGGTTTATCATGATAGCATAGTAAACAGGGCAGACCAGAAGATTGAAACCACAACGACTTGGGATCATCCAAGAAAGATCTGCATCCCACATCTGAGATACATCCATGGGTTGTGATTTCGGAGGCAATTTTTTTTTTGCTCTATAACGCCACCTCCCGGAACACTGACATGAGATATTTTAAACCTCATTTTAAAATACTAGTTTGGTTTTGTATATGGGGTATATTGTATTTGTAATGCCCGATATTGTACCGGTATTCTATGTATAGAGATGCTACACTGTTGCATACAGGGTAATATCCTCCACGTCTATTCGCGCGGAATTATATTTTATGCAAGTCTTTCTTTCCGCGTAAGACCCCGATGCGCATCTGAAACAAAATGGCGTCGTTTATGATCAGCATCTTACTAAATAAAACAAGAGAGCGATGCTTAAATATACCGACAAGGCGTAACATAGCTACGCAATCTGTTACAGCAGCGTACCGGTACCGCAGCGTTCAACACTTCGCTGGACCACAAGATCGCTAACGCGAGGGCGGAACTGCCTAGATAAGGATAAGATATGGATAAATCCCCGACATTTTTTGAAAAAAATAAAAAATAGCCTTCGAACAATGAGTACAAAGTTTAACCACTGAAAATCTCTAAGCAATTGGTCCCGTAGTCAAAGAGAAAGGCGATTATTACATACGATAGCAACAAGAAGTAGAGAAATACTAACAACACAATAATAACAAAACGTCCACTCCGTATTCAATATTCAATGCTCATGGCACAGAAAAAACACATTGTGAGCTATGAATAACGTTTTACATTGCCGATGTGGTTAACCACCATGCCTATACTAAAACAGACAAGTTTCTAAACTGCTGAAAATTATGGTTTTCATCCTATTACTGCCTAACCACTAATTTAATGATATGTTAGAATGGGTCTTACATAATAGTTTAGGTTAGCGGGCTAGGATGCAGTTTCAGGGTTGCCAGTTATCCACCGTTGTGCCGAGAACTTTCATCTAGTCTGTTCACGCTAGCCTAATATCGCATTTTTTACGGTCTACTGATTTTGGCATACTGATTTTGGTCTTGGAATTATGGTCCTACATCCGGGGCTTTGCTCAGCTGCTTTCTAGGTTTTTCGATGTGAAGTGTGCTTATCTCAATTTAGGGTTAGTAATGCTAAATTTTGTGGGTTTCTGGCCTATATGGGTTTCATCAGACAAACTTTATATAGATGTATGATTTTATATTGTTGCAGATTTTGTTGTGCTATGTACGCTGAACGTTGTTAATCGTTTGCTATAATAACTGATATCTAAATTTTGCATTGCCGTTTGTCATCTTCAATCTTCACAAAGAAAATTACATTGCTGCATTGGTTTTCGTTTCTACAACTTGTGTTCTGTGTGTTTAACTGGATTGGGTCATCGCTGTCAGTTTTTCAGTTCAAAGTAAACGCATTTCAACCAGCAAACTGGCAAACCAGAGAATTAGGCAACATCACATCTTAAATTATCAATAGAAGACGCTGGCATCTCAAGGGGTCTGGCGTGGGATAGTTCTAAATGATCACTGTCCTGAACATTAAATTAACAACGATTAGAACGTGCATGCATTGGTGACGCTAAAAGGGTTATTAAGCGTTTTACTTATGAAGAAGATATCGAAACTGCATATTATTCTGCTTTGAATGGCCTAA